TAGTGCTAGGCTTTACCTTGTCCAATTACTTTCTCAATATTTTTCCCCTTTTATTTATTTTTTTATTATTCAACATTCAATCGTTCATTTTTCTAAAAACACATATTTTTTAAAATAAAATTTTAATTTTATCGATTTTTAATATTTTACAGACTAATATGAGGGGTTTTTAGATTATTTAATTAGGTCCTAGGTCATTGACAAAAAATATTTTTTGAATTCTATCCATTTCACGTTTTCCCTGAAAGCGTTTATAGATATATTTAATTATTGTATCTTTTCCGGAATCGTATTTTTATATTTTTCCGGAATTGTATTTCATTACAATATTTATGATGCCTTCCGGAATTCTATTTTATGTATACTACTTTCCGGAATATATTATATTTTCCGGAATTGTATTTTGTGTATACTATTTTCCGGAATATATTATATTTTCCGGAATTGTATTTTGTGTATACTATTTTCCGGAATATATTATATTTTCCGGAATTTATTAAACAATTTAGGTATATTTTATTTTCCGGAAAAAATATTCTTTTAAATATTACCCTAACTTTCTTCTATTTTCAGATTCTCTTTTCCGGAAGATTTATTAAATACATGTATTTTCCTCTTCAGACTGTAATTTCTGATAATTTATTTTATTAGATTATAACTTTTCTTAATTACTATTATTTCAATTAACTAGACCAAAACAGAAAATTAAAGAAATCACGTCATAAAGGTCATATACCTAAATAAGCTTCTCCTCTTCTTTTCATTTACGTGTTTATTTTGCAAATATTATTTTCCAAAAAATAAATAATGCAAAAATGCTTTACACCACCATTAAATATATTTATTGTTCCCTTGGGCTGCTAGCTTTCCAAAAAAAAAACAAAAAAATATTTATTATACTCACCTCCCCCATTTTGCCTTAAAAGGATTTAGAGATCAATGCTCAAATGCTTGTTTTCGTTTTTAATAATGAGATTTATTCAAAATTTTATAATAAGCGTGGTAGGTATGTACTTTTAATGAAAGGAAATTTTGTTGAAAATTTTTGAGTAAAAAAATCTTAAAAACTAAAAGAGTTGTGGCCATTTTAAGTTTTGAGCCTCCGAGAAAGGAATTAACTTGGCTAGTACCCTAGTACCCATGGTTCAGAGGATTAGTTTTAGATTCTATTAAAGTTGTTATCATGGAGAGTCGAACCCCAGTCAAGGTAAAATTTTATTTCAATAGAATATTTTTTTAAATTTCGTTCCATCTTGTCAACTTTCACTTTGCCAGCCCCCTTTTTTCTTTTATTTTGTCCATTTTAGTCAATTTCATTGAAGCCTAGCTTTTTCTTTTTTATTTTCTTTCTGCATCTTTTTTGTTTCCTTTCTTGTTTTTATTTAGAAAGGAAGGAAGAACTCAACAAAAAGCTGCGCTTTGTCCTTTTCTCCATTCCTATCATCTAACCCCTTTATTTTAATTTAGCCTACATATACATTCCTACTCCAAAATCTTCCTCCTTCTCATACATATCTCCCCCCCCCCCTCCCTCCAATTATGCAATGACGGTAATTTCGTGTTTTTTGCCAAGTCTTCGAGAATAATTTAAGGCAGAAAACGGATCATGTAAATAAATGGATTTCCTTAATTTAATTTATAGAGAACTTCCTTTAAGGAACTCTAAATAAAAAATCTATAAATTTATCTCCCAGTCTTTCCCGTTTTTCCTTTTACTATTATTTTTAATTTTCTTCGAACGATTTTTATTGCTTTTTATGAAGCTAATATTTTTAGCTACTACATAAAAATTAACTAATTTTTTAACTATCGAAGCTCTTATTGCATATAAAATTTTTAAAAATACTAGGGATGGTGTTTACTGAATTTTCACGATTAAAACTGGAAACTAATGTAGGGTCGGCGAAGTTTCCTTCCAGCCTAGCAAATAACAGAGAGCTCTCGAGATCAAGTCTCATCCACTCTTTTGCTATTTTTTTAGTATGGTTGCGGCGCCTTACTATATAAGTAGTTTCAATTGAGTTCATACTCGTTAGTAGAGTTGTTTTTCTGGAAAAACATCGGATAATCGAATCCGACACGAAAAATTCTCGGTTCTTCTGTTCAATTACCGACAATCCCGTTAGGTCCCTAAAGATTTCCAAATTTTTTAAGATTCTCATTATATATTTTTTTGACTCTAAATGCACATAAAATTACCCTTTTGGTCATCAATTCCTTCATTCACTTGCCAATATCGTCAATATTACCCTTCTACTTTCCTTTTTATTCACTTCTTCATTCCCAAAATTCTTTTAGGTTCTTTCCTTTGAAGCAAAAAGAAAAGTCAGTCTTTCCCCCTTACATGCTTGTTTCTTCCTTTTTAGTTTTGTTTGGTCTGTATCTGATGCCGCGTTGCCAAAATATTTATATATAATTTCTCTTTCCCGTCCACCGATTCTTTTCTTTTTATTCTTTTTTAGCTTCTTTCCGCTAGGCCGACAAGAAGGGTTTATATTTATACTACTACATCTTCCCCCCTTGTTTTGAGTTTATATATTCCCTTTTTTTAAAGCCGGGTTCAGCTTTTTTTAAAAACTTTGTTTTGCCAAATGTTAAAAGAAATTTTAGTTAATTTTGTTGTTACTTTTTAATTTTGATTGTAATTTTTGAAAAAAAGATATTTCTATTTGAAATTTGGACCTTTTTGTTTCAAGTCATTTTTATTTTTTGACTTCTTGAAATCTGACATTTTGAGAAAAGAATTCTAAAAGATAGCTTTAGGATTAGTGACCGGTGCCGAACCGCATTCCGGCCGAATTTTCCGGAGTCCGGGTCTGAAAAAATGATTTTGCCGATCACTATTTAAGATTAGACCCCGATCCTTCGGAGTCGAAAAGTTCGCAGAGGGGTTTCAGTCAAGAAAAAAGCCCGGGTTCGGTCTCCATTCTTAGTTTTACTATATCCAGATTTCAACAATTTGATTCTCCCTAACATTCTCCGCAATGAAATTTTTATTTATTGATCTTAGTTTTACTATATCTATATTTCAATAATTTGATTCTCCTTAACATTATGCACAATCAAAAGTTTAACATATTTATTGACATTTTTGTTAAAAAAATTTTTGAAATTTGCGTTGAAAAAAAAATTTTCATTTGGCAAAATTAAGTGTCTCAGCGTTTATCTTTTTAAATGTTTTTATTCTTTTCTTCTAGACTTGAGTAAAAGACGTTAAAAAGATATAGTATGTAAGAAGTACTTTTAAAGTAAAAAAAAACCTTTTAAATTTGTATTTCCCCAAGCATCATCGCTTTTTTAAAGTTAAAATGGCGGCATAAAATTCTCTTCTTTTTTTTTAATTTTTTTTCTTTTTTTTGGTTGATTGAAAACATTTTATAAATTAATAATTTAAAAAATTTTAATTTCGATTGGACTCCCATAAATAGAATTTTTGAACTTATTTTAGCCTCTTTTCGGACCTATTTAGTTGCCTATTATCGCTTTTTTGGACCTAGAAAATTCGCTCCTGGTAATAAATAAACACTGATTTTTATTTGAACAATAATTGAAATTTTTTGGAATTATAAGGATTTGGGGCTTCTTAAAATATTTTTTTAACAAATTTTGTCCTTAAAAATCTAAAAAAAATTCATTTTTGTTGCTCCTTTTTCTTGTTTGCGTGTTTAATAAATGAAAATAATAGTTAAAATTGGCTTTTAAAAATATTCCCCTTATATTGTTCAAAAACATTTAATACTTTTGGCTCTTTTAGTTTTTATGTCTTGTTAGTATTTTTATTTTTAAATTTAATCCTTTTTATTTTTCGAAATGCTACGGTATTCTAATAATGGGTTGTCAGATAAATAATGAGCCCTTTGCGCATAAATTATACAATTTACTATAACTAAATAATGAAATAAAATCAAAAAACAATTTAATGTCCATTATTATCTATCACTTCTTGCCCCTTGCTTGGCAGTTTTAGAATTCTCATTTGATAAAATTTATTGGCAGATTTGGTATTAAGAATGTTAGCAACCCAATTTTAGAGTTGAGCACAGTTTTGGAACATCACCTCCCGCAAATGATCTTTCATCGAACGAAATAACTGCTAGTAAGACGGCGCAATATCCGTAGAATAAGGAGGATCAACTAAAAGTTCCCATCCGAGTGTCCCCGTGATTTAGGCTCGAGTTGCGTTCGCGCAATGCAAGGGTGCAGTTTCCTGTTGAAAAACAACTTTATCATGACGAACCCCGCAAGCAGTGAAAACATCGTTGGCAATCTGAACTAAGTCCAATATTGTTTTGTAGAGTTCGCCTGGCAATCCATTGCCCTTTAGGAGTTAGTTCCCAGTGTAAAACCCCAAATTTAGCCTAAATTTGGGGTTTTTGGCTTCTAGGCCCATATCTCCATCACTGAATTTTTTGTAACATCGCTTAATTGATGCAAAAGATGCGCAATATGTACCCTACAAGGCGGCATCTTCTTTTTTGGATTAAGTTGTTCCTAGACCGCGTTTGAAGCAATACAAAATAACAGTCCGAATTTCATATTTTGAGGACATAATTTTAAAAAATTTTTAAAAAAACTGCAAAACTCAAAATTTATTTTTTAAATGGTTCTGGCTAGTAGAAAAAAGCGTGAACTATTGACTCTAGTAAATTTAAAATAATTCTAACTAAAATTCGAATACCTATACATAAAAAAAGACTAAAAATGCGCAAAGGGCTCATTATTTATCTGACAACCCATTAATAGTACTACTTTATTGTTAGAGATTGTGTGAAGTGAAGAGAGTGAATAAAAGAGTGTGTGCAATAGAGAGAGATATTTAAAGAGAGGAAAAACTTTGTTAAAAACATCAAACAATAAAAATAAAACATTGGAAAACAACAAAGAAAATAATTAAACAGCACAAACAACAAAACAATAGATTAAAACATTAAATAAAACATCAACAAAACATCGTCAAAACATCATCAAAACATTATTAAAATAACTAACAATAAATAAACTTGTTTGAAAACTTGATAAAAACAAACTTGTTTTACTTAAAAATATTAAAACAAAACCAGCATAATAATAAAACGCAAAAACATCAGAAAAACATTCTTCTAAAATTTCATTCTAACCAACGCAACACCAAAACTCAAACATCTAACAAAAACATCACAACTTTAAAAACATTATTAAAAACATCAACAAAAACATTAAAAATTAAATGAAAACTTGTGTTTTTGGTGGAACAAATGATTCTAACGAAGACAGTATTTCAACAATAACAACAACCGGTGGGGGCGGTCTTGTTGCGCGCTCTTCATCTAGAACGGGCGGGGCCTTATGTGGTCGTTCTTCTATTTCTGCTACTGCTGCTGCTTCTTCACGTTTTTCTACTACTCCAACCAAGAAATTATCAGCTGGGGTTTTGATAGAAAAGCAAAAAAGAAGTGGAGGAGAACATCAATTCCCCCATTATTATAAACGTAATCAGAGGTCTACCCCAACTTTTAAACAATATTTAAATGGGGGAGATGAATCAAAAAATAATAGCAGCAATAATAATAATATAATGGTTAGAATCTTGAAAAATTATTAGAAATTTGGGAAATATTGAAATAACAAAAATTGAAAATTAGGCAAATGGAGAGTTTGAGCAAATGAGGTTTGGTCGAATACATTCCGTTCCAATAAACCTCTTTGTTCCAAAAACCCAAATGTGTTAAGTGCATAAATCCGCTAGAAGACCTCCACCTCCACTTCGAACTACTTTAGGGATTTATAAAAATGTCGAGTTGTAATATCGGAATCACATAGCTAATTTTAAATAAATAAATTTTTATCTGCTTAAAAATCTTAGCAGAAAAAGTCAACTACACACTCTTTGGACAGGCTTTCCCCTCCTCCTAAAAGTCCACCACCACCACCTCCCTCTCAACCAACTTGTAGATATCAAAGAACAGCAGCAGCTAAATGTAATACAGCAATAAATGCTTCATCTTTAGCGGCAGAAACTTTAAGTGCTAATAGTTTATTATTGCCTGGTCATACTAAACATGTTAGACGAACATCGAGAGTAATAAATAATGTAAGTTTTAATAGATGTTTTTAAAAACATTTACAATTTCAAGTTTATTTTTAACAAAACATCCAAGTTTATTTTACTCAAGTTTATTTATTATTTTAAGTTTATTTGTATAAGGTTTATTTACATAAGTTTATTTTTTTCTACAACCTTTATACAACCTTTATTAAAAACAAGTTTTTAAGTTTATTTTTATTTTTGTATTTTTTGACATCATTAAGTGACATCAAATTATAGTCTAAACAAACTTTAGAGACCTGTCTCGACTAATTAACATATAAAATAAATAGAATGGCATAAAAACAATTTTTATTTAAAAAAGGGTTGAATATTTATGTATTTTATTATTTTTTCATTTATTTTCTAAAAAAGTTTTGAAAATTTTCAAAAAAAATTTTTTAAGAAAGATTTCTCAATTAAAAAATTTAAAACATTCCTCAAAATTTTCTCAAAAATACGAATTTGTTTAAAAATAAATTCTAAAAAAATTTTCTTTTATAAATATTTATTGTATTTTAGGGAATTTTTAATTTTTTTTTTGACTTTTTTTAATTTTGGATTTTTTAGAATATTTTTTCAGAATTTCCTAGTGTTCTTAAATAAATATAAGATTTCTTAATTTAATCAAAAAAAATTTTTTTTCAATAAATTTTAAAATTCACAAAAATTTTCAAAAAATGTTAACCCAATCAATCCAAACATTTCAACAACAAAATTCATTTTTTGAAGAATCCAATACCTCAATAAATTCATTAATTCGTTCCCCTTCTTCACCTCTTCCTTTTCACAATGAAAATATCAGAATTCCAACACCTCTAGTTGTTTTACCCTTTCCTCCTTTCAGACCCGCTTTAGGGGCTTTCTTTGCTAATGTTAGGTTTTTAAAGGTTTGGAAAAATATTTTTTATTTGAATTTATTTTTAAAAATAATTTTGAGAATTTTTTTAAATTAAATTTATTTTAAAATTTTAAATATTTTTTATTTATTTTTTTATTGGTACATAATTTTTTGAGTTTTTATTTTTATTTAATTTTACAAAAAAAAACTTTCTTAATTTTTTTTCATATTTTATTTTTAAATTTATTTTTTCATATTAAAAAAAATTTTTTTCAATTAAAATATATTTTTAAATATTAATTTTCAATACTAAAAATTTTTTCTTTTAATTTAATTATTGGGAGTTAACTTTAACTAAAAATTAAATAATAAATTTTCTTCAGTAAAAAATTTTTTTTTCAAAATTAGGTACTCAGTCTAGGCGCAGATGTCATTCCAGAAGTATTTCTTTAAATTAAAAAAAAATAAAAATTTATCCTTTAAAGTACAAATTACAACCAAACAGACTTCATCATTGCACAATTATTCATTATTCTCCTTTTAAGGCTGTCTGGGATTGGATGTATATTTTATTAATTTTTAAAATAAAAATCTCTCAAAAATTTATTTCAATTTGAAGTAGAGGCCGGATAAGAGCTGATCTAAGAAAACATTTTCCCATTTCGTCTCGTTTCCATCCGAAATAAAACATTTTTTATTTCGATTAACCCTGGATAGGATTGGAGATTTAAGCAGGATGTGGGATTGATATTTAGAAAAATATTGATCTTGTTAAACGAAATTATTGGAAATCTCGTCTCGATCCGATCTCCATTTTGAAGTAGTTGAAAAATAGACTCTTATTTACATATTTCTCCATACTCCCCCCCCCCTTATACCTTCAAAGATTTTCGAAAATATTTTTTTCTAAATTTAAGTTTCTTAAATTTGTTTCTGAATTTATTTTTTATTTGGATTGCCCGTAGGGAATCATAATCAGAGTCGTTCAAATAATTTTGGGTATTATTCCAGGGCTCTCATCGACAAAATACCAATCGAAAGTACAAAAATCTTGATTTTAAAGTACATAGGGACAAAATTTCCACATTTAAAGTACACTCAAAATTAAATTAGAAAATACATATTTATTCGTGCTTAAATTTTTATATTTCTCTCCTAAATGAATCTTTTCTAATAATTTCTTGTTTCCACTGAGCATTTTGTGCATTTCAATGCATGACATGTCAAAATTCGCTGACACAAGAAATAAAGCCCTGACAGTCAACCTCAAACAAGCTACTTTCTTTCGTCATTTTTCAGCGCCGCAGGCGAAAATTTTGAGAATTTTAGAGCTCAAGAAGCCAGATTATTTCCATTTTTAGCGCCGCAGGCGAAAATTTTTAAAATTTTAGAAGGCCGTAGGCAAAAAAATTCACTTTTTCAGCACCGCAGGCGAAAATTTTTTGAAATTTGGAGCCCAAGAAGCCAGATTTCTTCCTTTTTCAGCGCCGCAGGCGAAAATTTTGAGAATTTCGAATGCCGTAGGCCAAAAAAATTCACTTTTTTGCCCAATCCCTTCCCCAATTTCATTTTCAATCTAAAATGTTGATTTTAAAGTACATACTTTCAATAAAGTACAAATTCAATTTTGTAAGTACGGAGGTCGATTTTAAAGTACTGTACTTTCAAATAAAGTACGAATGAGAGCCCTGTATTATTCTATCAATATTTTCGGTGAGATATCCTTAATTTGATTAAGCAGGTAAATTTTTTAATTTGTTGTATTTAAATATTCAAACAATATTTTTACTCAAAATTAATTTAAAAAATTAATTTTTAGAATTCTTCTCCTTGTTATTTACACAGCCATATTTACGGTAATTTTAATTTTTAAATTTAAAAATTTTTTCTATTTTTCTAGCCTTATGTAGCAGCATTCCTGTTAAGAGAGGTAATTTTTTTAAATTAATTTTTACTCAATAAAAAATAATTTTTAGGGTCAGAATACACAACAGAGGAGGGCAAAGTTTGGAGAACCTATGGAAATTATTGTAAAAATATTTTTAATTAAAGAAATTTTTTTTATTTTTTTAGGATCTCATTGTTGATATTTTCTTTATTATTGATATCAGTAAGGAAAATAATAATTTTATTAAAACTTTAATTTATTTTATTAAAGTAATCAACTTTAGAACTACTTATGTTGTAAGTTTTAATAATTCAAGTTTATTTTAAAGTTTATTTTATTTAAACTTTAATTTCAAGTTTTGTTTATTCCAACCTTATATAAAACTTGAATTAAGATTGAACTTAAAAATAATTTTTAGATTAAACTTAAAACTAAGTTTTTTAATTCAAGTTTATCTTATTTTTTAAGTTCAAGCTTAAAAGTTTATTTTTTTAAGTTCAAACTTTATTTATTCTGATTTCTATTAAGTTCAAAGCTTTAAAGATTAAACTTGAAATATATTTTTCGTTTTATTTAATTAAAGTTTAATTAATATAGAACGACAACGATGAAGTTGTCAGTGATCCAGGGAAAATTGCATTACACTATTTTAAGGTAAACAAATTTAATTTTTAATTTAAAAACAATTTTATTTTTAAGGGATGGTTCTTTATTGACGCGTGAGTATTTTCTAATTTTTTGAAAATAATTTTTAAATTATTTTTAATAGGGTAGCAGGTCTGTTTTAGGGGATTTAGGGATTTTTCTACTAATTTTTAACAGCTGTCCCTTTTGACTTGTTATTGGTCGAGACTGATAGTGATGAGGTAATAAACATTTAATTTAAAAAAAAATAATTTTTTTTTCAAAATTTTTATAGACTACAACATTAATTGGCCTTTTAAAAACTGCTCGTCTTTTGCGTTTAGTACGGGTAAAGACAATTTTTTGAAAAAATTTACTATTAAAAAAATACAAGTTTTGTTTTATTTTGCATTATATTCAGAACTTTAAAAAAATAAACTTGAAATAAACTTTATTTAATTCAAGTTTATTTTAAGATTATGGTACTTTTCGGTTCTGCCACACCCCTCCCATATATTCGCAGGTTATATATTATATTTTTCCTTAACAGGTAAATTTCTCCTTTATTCAATTCACTCAATTTTCCCTGTAGCATGTTTAATGAGAGACACTAATAAAGGAAAGATTATTTTTTACTCGGTTTTCCCTTCAATCAAGTTCCCTTAGAAGGGAAGAAGTCTGACCATTCTGATATAACCTGCGAATATATGGGAGGGGTGTGGCAGAACCGAAAAGTACCAAGATTATTTCCAAGTTTTAAAGTTTATTTTATTTAAACCTTAATTAAATTTTTATAGATTAAATTTTAATATTTTTTAATCATTTAAAAAATTAATTAAGGTAGCCAGAAAGCTTGATAGGTACTCTGAATATGGGGCGGCTGTTCTCTTACTTTTAGTAGGGAAATTAATAAATAAAAAAATTTATTTCGATTTAGATGGCTACATTTGCTTTAATTGCTCATTGGCTAGCTTGTAAATAATTAATTTTTTAATTTATTAATTCAAAATAATTTTTTAAGGTATTTGGTATGCCATTGGCTCTACTGAATTACCACATAAAGTTGGTTTAAAATTAAATAATAATTAAATAGTTAATTAAAATTTATAATTAAAAATTTATTTCAAGTACTAAAATATTAAAAAAAAATTTTTGAAAGCCCAATAAAATTTTTAATTTTTAGAATATCACTTGGCTTCATCAACTTTGTAATTTTTAAAAACTTGTCAAATGTTAAATTTTGAAAAAATAATTTTTTATTTCAGCTCGACATCTAAATGAGCCTTATCTTAGAACTAAAAATGGTTCAATAACTGCTGGGTATGTTTTAGAAAAAATAAAATTTTAATTTATTATCGACTTTGTGGAGAAAATTAAAATAAAAAAATATTTATTTTTTAAAAATAATTTTTATTTTTTAAAGAGGTCCTTCATTAAAATCTCGTTATGTCACTTCTCTTTATTTTACTTTATCAACCATCACTTCTATTGGTTTTGGAAATGTTAGTGCCACAACTGATTCAGAAAAAATATTTACAATAATTATGATGATACTGGGCTCTTTAATGTATGCCTCTGTTTTTGGAAATGGTTGGGGAAATTTAATTAAAAATAATTAAAAATAATTTTGTTTAGTTTCTGCGATTATTCAAAGACTTTATAGTGGAACGGCTAGATATCATACAGGTAGATAATTAATTCCGGAAACTTCAAAAAAATTTTTAAAAATTCTGATTTTCTGTTTCCTTTCCAGAAAATGATATATGTATTTTTCCGGAAAGAATATAACTCCGGAAAAAATATATTTCCGGAAAATAATATAACATACATATATTTTTTCCGGAAAAAATATATAAATAAATCTTTCCGGAACTTATAAAATTCTGTCTTTTAAAATTCTTTCCGGAATAAATTAACATTTTCTTTTGCTTTAGAAATGAGTCGCTTGCGCGAATTCATTCGTTTCCATCAAATACCAAATCCACTTAGGCAAAGACTAGAAGAATATTTTCAACATGCCTGGTCCTATACAAACGGGATTGATATGAATACAGTAATTTTTGAATTTTAAATTAATTTTTAAAAATTATTTTTAGGTGCTTAAAGGCTTTCCTGATTGCCTTCAGGCAGATATTTGCTTACATTTAAATAGAAATTTGCTCAATAATTGCGCTGCTTTTTCTAAATGCTCACCTGGATGTTTGAGAGCTTTAAGTATGAGGTTTAGAACGACACATGCTCCACCAGGCGATACTTTAGGTTATTGAATGATTAAAGTTTTAAATAAACTTGGAATATACATACCGTATTTGCTAAAATAAATACCCAGGGTAGTTATTGTTTCAACCTCTCACTGGGGGGGGGGGGGGGGGGGGGGGGTAATTAAAAGGAAGAGGATAATTATTTGAGCTTTTTTTAAAAAAAACGCTAATTATTACTATTTTTAAGAGGGGTAATTATTTTTTCGATCTCTGGCTGTAGGGGTTAATTAATAGGGCGGGGGTAATTATTTGAGAGAGGGACATAATTCCAGCATTTACGGTAAGTGTAAAATTTACTCAAAATAAATTCTGATTTATTTTATTCTCTTTCCGGAAACAAACTAAATCAGAATTTATTTTCCGGAAATAATATAAACTTTCCGGAAATAAAATAATAAACCAGAATTTTTAATTCTGGTTTATTGTTTAGTAAAAGTTTAAAAAATTCTGATTAATTATTTTCTTTCCGGAAAGTTTAATTTAATATTTTCTGGAAACTTTTAAATTCTGATATATTTGTTCTCATAAATTATATTTAATTAAACTTTAAATGAATAAATTTTTTAAAATAAACTTTTACAGTTCATCGTGGTGATATACTTACCGGTCTATATTTTATTGCACGGGGTTCTGTTGAGATAGTAAAAGATGATTTGGTTGTAAGCATTATTGGTGGGCTATTATTTAATAAAAATTTTTAAAATTTTATTTAGGTAAAGACGAGGTTTTTGGTGAAAATCCAATGCTTAACGAGGATGTTGGTAAAGCTAGGTGAATTTAAAAATTAAAAAAATTTTCAAAATAATTTTTTTAAAGTTGCTCAGTTCGTGCTCTAACTTATTGTGATTTACACAAAATTCTTCGAGATGATCTTTTGGATGTTTTGGAAATGTATCCAGAATTTGCTGAACATTTCTGCAAACATTTATTAATTAATTACAATTTGAGAGACGAAACTTTGTCGAGGAAAAATCATCCTCCAAGATTTTTTCATCCTCCGTTAACTGGAAGACTTTCTTCCTCTTCGTCTATACAAAAACAACAAAATCAGAATCAACATAATCAATTACTGGTAATGCCTATGCAACGCGGGGTTAATCAGAATAACAGAGAAAATCTGTGTGAAGGTGTGGAATATTATTTTTATATGTATACCCGGAAATCTTTTTATTCTGATTTATTTCCGGAAAGTTTAATCCCTTAACGAAAATTCTGATTTTATATTTTCCGGAGAGTCTCTTCCCTATTTATTCTTTTTCTTCCGGAAAATTTTATTTTTATTCTTTCCGGATTGTTTTTAATCTATTTTCTATCAATTAATTAAGATTTCCGAGCATATTCGTCCCAATTTCGCCCATTATTTGCGGATGAATTAAGGCCGCAGGTGTCAGTTGAAGCGCCTACACCAACTTCAGCTACAATACCACATGAACAACAAAATTGTAAAATTTTATTTTTAATAAAAATATTGGAAATTAAATTATTTTTATTTTATTTCCGGAAAGTTATATTTCCTATTACTTTTGTTCCGGAAAATCAGAAAAATATAATTTTTGTTCAAAAAATATAATTTTCTTCCGGAAAATTAATTCTTTAAGGAAATTTACACTTCTCTGGAAGATTAAATAGTCAAATATTCTCTTTCCAGAATTATGTTTTTATTATTCTTTTCCGGAAATTAATTAGTTGAAATATTCTTTCCACAGAATTATAATAGTTGCAATATTATCCGAAAACTATTTCATATACCTAATTTCTTTCTAGAAAATATACAAAAATGATTTTCTTTTCCCGATTAAATATTTAATTTCTCAGCTACATCAACCGGTTATGGTTGTGTTCTTCGTTCACTTACCGGAATGGGTTCAAGTTTAAATGGACAACAACAACAAACAGAAGAAAATAATTACCCAAAATCCCCTCCTCTTCCACCAATTTCTTCAACTTTTGGTCCAAATATAGACCATACATTTCCAGCTGTTGATGCTTCAGAAAATGGAGGAGGAGAAGAAAGAATATTAAATAATAACAATAATTCTTCATTTTTATTAACTTCATTTCACCCTCCCCCACCCCCACCACCTCCTCTTCCCCCACTTCCTCCTTTAAATTATGGAGAACAACAACAACAGTTATATTTATTTAGACAACAACAAAAAAATGAGGAACGTTTTGATCAACTTAATAGGCGTTTGGAAAATATTGAAACGTAAATTAAAGTCTTATTTAATTGGCAGTTTGGGCGCAGTAACAGTTTTGGAGCGCCCGTTAATAAAATAGTCAAATTCAAACATAAATTTGTGAAATTTTGCTCAAGTATTCTTAATGTAGTTATCTTATCTTTCTGAAAATTTTAGAAATTTTGGTTATTTATTTGTCAAATTATGGTCAGAAATAGCCATTTTTAGTCGATTTTCTATCATTTTTTGGCCATAACTTTTGTAAAACTTGTCCAAAAATTCTGAAATTTTTTAGAAAAGTTAGAAAATGAGAGTATCAAAATCCCGAAGATGTTCGTTTTCAATGAGAAATTTTAATAAAATAATTTTTTTCCTATTTTTCTAGAACATTAGAATCAATGCAAAATAAGCTAAACTTAGACCTGGAAGAATTACTCACATTTTTTCGTCACCACCAACAACAACCGACAGAACAAAAATTACCTTCATCTTCTACTTATTGTTTACCCAAACAAAAATATTCTTCAACATCTTTAAATTTACAAAGAATTTCCCAAAATATTTGTAGAAGTGAATCAACAACACCTGAGGCAGATGAAAGGGAGCAGGAAGAGGAGGAAGTTGGTGAAAGTGGTAATGGGGGAGTTGGAAGGAGGAAATCAACAAATATTGTAATAAATAAGGTGATTAATACTAGAGATCGGTCTGGATTTTTCCTGGATCCAGATCAAGAATCCTGTCCAGGTTACTAACCTAAATCCAGATCCAGGATTTTTGAAAATACCGATCTCTAATTAGTACTAAATTTTAAGTTTAAAATAAAAATTTTAGTCCTAATAAATTAAAAAATTTTAGAATAAAAAATCGAAAATAATTCTTAATAAGAATGTTTTAAAAATTCTAAACCACAATTTTAGAACAATTCCAACTCTCAAGGAAAAACTCAAACCATTAGAGAAAGTCCAGAAAGCAATGAAGATGCTCAACAACAACAACAACTGCCTTGTTCTTCATCATCAACTATACAACAACAAAAACAACAATTAAGAAAACAACAAAAAATAAATTTAAAGCCAAATACCTCCGAAAATGAAGATTTTTTATTTTTAAATAATAAAACGGGAAAAGTTGAAGAGATTAAAAATCAGAAGAAAAAAGAAAATAATCAGAAGAAGAAAAAGAAAGGAGGGGAAGAAGGAGAAGAAAATGAGGAAAGCGAAAGAAGTGTTTTGTTAGCATCTCCGGAAAGTTCTGATACTGTTTTATAAATTAAGAGAGAAAATATTCTTAAAAAGTGCCAATTAAAACATTGCCAATTTTTAATTTTTTTTAAAGTTATGGCAAGATATTGAAAATAAAAAAATATTAAAAATTATAAAAAGGAAAAATATAAGGAATAAAAACTTGAGAATAAAATCAAAATTTAAACTACAAAAAAGACTGCAGTTAATTAGGAAACTTGTTTTAAAGAAATAAAAACTTAAGTCTAACTTACTAGACTTAAGTTTAAAAATAAAACGACCTTAACTTAAACTTAAGTCGGCACTATATGAAATTAGGTTGGGAATCGTTTTTTTTTTCAATCATTTTTTCTTTACTTTATTCCTCACTTGACATGACATAATGGTCAGCATTTTTTTTCTTGTTCAATTCCATTAAATTTGCCTGTAGCATAATCAAATGAGAGGACAGAAGAACAAACACTGACAGACAAACAAGGACGGACACGGACAGACAAAACACGGACAGACAGAACACGGATTCATTCCTGATAGTCCGAGTTTCGTCCGTGTTTTGTCTGACTGAGTTCGTCCGTGCTTCGTCTGTCGGTGTCCGTCCGTCTTTTGTCTGTCCGTGTCCGTCCGTGTTTTGTCTGTCCGAGTTCGTCCTTGTTTTGTCTGTCTGTCAGTGTGTGTGTGTTTTTCTGCCTCTTATTTGATTATGCCACAGGCAAATTTAATGTAATTGAACAAGGAAGAAAATGCTGACCATTATGTCATGTCAGGGGAGGAAAAAAATAAAGAAAAAAGTAATGAAAAAAAAACGATTCCCAACCTAATTTCATATAGGGCCCTTAAGTCTAACTTGTTAAGTTTAAAACCTTCACAAACTTAAGTTTGGAAATAAACTTGATTTTAAAGAATTTTAAACTTAAGTCTAACTTGTTAACTCTAAAACCTTAAAAAACTTAAGTTTCACAAACTTAAGATTGATCTTTAAAAAAATAAACTTGACAGCAGAAGTACTTTTGCCATTTCTTTCTATTTGTTTTGTTGTTTTTATATGTATTTTATATTAATGTTTCCATAGTATTATTTAATATTGAAAATAAAGATTTTTATTATTTTTTTTTCAATAAACTTTTCTTCAAAAAAATAATTTAAATTTATTTATTTTTAAAAATAAATTTTTTGAAAACAATTTAAATATTTATTTAATGTCCTGATTATTCATAAAATGGATATTTTGGAGCATAACGATTTTTGCCAAAATGAAATTTTCGTTCCTTGTCGTCAGAAATTGGTACTGGTCCAAGATAAAATTCTCTGAAAAATTTGATTTAGTAATTTTCTTAATACACATTAAGCTAAAAAATCTGTCTTATAATGAATTTTATAGTGAAGTGTCTGTATTAGACTATTAAATATATGTATTTTACATATGATTAGGTCTGTCTGTACAAGATAACCAACCCTATACTAAAATCGTGAGAATCAGAATTCCCCGGCCCATAAAACGTCGGAAATTCCCGATCTTCGGAACTCGGAATGGCAATATATCACTAAATACTAGATAACTTCTCAATTTAATATTTTATTTTGCTATTGGGTTTAATTATCCTAAACAATTAGAATAATTTCATTATAAGACAGCTTAAAGTCTGCACTCTTATAATAAGGGCAGAACAAAAAAGTTTTCTCTCACTTGTAATAAGGACTAGCCAATGCCGGATAAAGCTCGCTCAAAACAGAAGAAGGCATTCTAACCCTCTTTTTGGCAACTTCTTTTCTCAATTGTTCAGTTTCTGGGTCCATTCTGTCCTCCTCATCATTTTCAACATTTTCCTCGTTTTTCCCATTTTTCCCCAAAATTTTTCCAGTTTCGTCTGTTACAGTTACTTGAACAAAATCTTTATTTTGTTGTTGAATAATTCCATTATTATTATTTTTTGTATTTTTCAAAATTCCAGGCAAAATTGGAATTGTTCCAATAACAATAGGCAAAGAAATGGTGAATTTGGGGGAATTGTTGAACTTTAAAATTAAAAAAAATATTAATTTTTTAAAATTAAAATTGGATCTCATAGGGTTTAAATAGTCGTAGAAATGGGTATATAACTTATGCTACGTTCACACATAAAAATCGCGGGCGTCTTGCAATAGACAAGGTAATGAAGAGGAAGGAAATGTTTTGGCGATTTTGTCTTTCTTTTTCTTAAAGGTTATTTTCTATGACAAGACGCAAGGGGACATTATGTGAAACAGTTTTCCAACCCAGTGGCCAACAAAAATTTGAAAATTGTATATTATTAAATTGAGGGCCATTTAGAATAGAAAGTGAGGTCCGGTTGTATATTTTAATGTGTACTATATAATTTCTGTAAATTTTCCGAAAATAATTTGTCTAATTTTAAATAAAATTTCCTCATACATATCTTCCCCCATTTTTAAAAATATTTTTAAAAAATAATTTTTTAAATTAATTTACTTGTAATTCCAAACAATAAGAAACATCAATTAATTTACATTTAGTCACCATACGAGGGGGAATTGAAGGCACTAAAATTGGTTTGTCTTGCCAGTGGAATTCTGTACCTCTTCGAATTTTATCGGTGACAGTTACTTTTTGGACTATATGCCGAGTTTGTTTAAAAGATTCTGAGCCGTCAAATGTTTTTGACCTAAAAATAAACAAAAATAAATTCAAATAAAATTTTGCTAGAAAATACCTGTAATTAACAATTTGGCAAAGACAAATAGCCACATTCCTTACACTTCTTCTACTTCCATTCTTTATATTTAAACTAACACGAATAGCTTCCCCAGGCGTGTAGCCACCTTTGGCCACCCGAAGCTCTGTTTGAATAGTGCCCAATTTCATACAGAAGAGAGACACTGGTTGTGTGGAACGAGTTTCCAAAGGAAGGGAAAGCACCGAAAAAAGAAGAGAATTTATATTTTAAAAAGAATATTTTCTAACTTCAGCCTCGTAATTGAGATCTTCAATGCCTATCACGGTAAAAGCTCGAAAACAGACAATATCAAAGTCCCACGGCCGTTCACATATTGCTCTACAAGTGTAACGAACAAAGCCGTAATCGCCTTCGAAAGAACTTGGCAAGTGTTTTGGTAAGGTGTAAGAGAAAGGAATTTGATGGACGCCGGGAGGGAGCGTTCTTCCCTTAAATAAATTATAATGTAAATAAATTAGAACTTGAAAGTATAAAATTACTTTCCGGAAAAGTAAATTTAAGAAGACCATTAAAGACTTTTCCATTAAAGATTTTTAGTACTGAAAAGCTTGCGGAAATACATACTATTTTATGTATTACTGGGAAGATCGTTCCGGAAAATTCCGGAAAAAATTTTCCGGAAAATATATTTTCCTGAGTAATTATAGCTAGAATTTCCGGAATAATAATTTCCGGAACTAGTTATATTTTCCGGAATATTTATACAATTATGTATTTCCTTAATAATTATTTCCGGAATAATTACCAATTTCTTTGGGTCACTTTTAACGCTAGAAGAGGAAGTCTTTGCCGTTGGCCTTTGCTGCAATTCATTTAATTGTTTATTATCTTCACAAACTGAAATCTTTTTCAACTCATCCCCATAATTTTTAGGTAATTTGTGTGTATATGTTGTATTGAATTGTTCACAAAAATAAGCTTCATTTGCCGAACAGGTTTTTCTGGATTGTGTCCAATATGACCTAGCACGCCCTTTTACCTCTAAAAGTACTTCATTTAGTTGTTTGGGCTCGCTGCATTCAATTACTACCTTTTTTGATAAATATAGAATTATAAATATTTTTAAATTTATATTTTGTTACTTTTCCGGAAAAATAATGAATTTTAAATTAAATGAGGATATTTTTAATTTCTAAAAATGAACAGGCATTTTCATTGTATTCTCCTATTGTTGTCCTTCCAGAAAAGAAATTTAAATTTATTTTATATAATTTTCCGGAAAGAATCTAAATATTCCCTTTGTAATAATTTTCCGGAAAGGAAATATACCTATTTTATAGTTCTTATATTTTCCGGAAAAGTAATATATTTTTATAAACTTTCAGGAAATAATACATATAATATACTACATATTTTTCCGGAACAATCTACTCTTATAGACATTTTTGTATATTTTCCGGAAGTTTTATTTTTAAAAATTAACCTTTCCTGTAATTTCTTGCCCAGCAAAATACACTTCCTCTATATTATCTAAAAGAATTTCAAATCTATCTAATAACTTTGCTGTTCCAACAACACTACTTTCTCTTCCTTTGGTTAGGCTAATACTTCTTTTACCTCCAATACTCATTGGGGGAGGTTATTTATTTTTTAAATAATTTATTTATTTTCCCGTAAGAAAAAATTGAAGAATTTTAAGAATTAATCGATTTTTTAAATGATTTTTCGTTTTTAATAAATTTCTAAGAAAAAATTTTTTAATTGAATTAATTAATTAAGAGAATGAAAATAGGTTTTGTATTTGAATTATTCGCGATAACGAAGTATTCCTTTAATTTTCAAAAAAATTAATAGTCATTTCCGGAAAAGATATAATATTATAAATAGGGTTGTCGGTTCCTGGAAAATTTTCAGATATCTAAAACCGGACTGAAGAACCGAACCGAAAGATCCTCGGTTCTTCTGTTCGGTTCACTCAGAACAGACAACAATTATAAATCAAACTTTAAATTTATTCCGGAATTAGTTTATTCTCCGGAAAATGAAAAAACCCCTAACTAAAACTTTTCCGTAAGTTATGATTATATTTTTATACAATTTTTTAAGTTCAAGCTTAAATATAAATAATTGTGTATTTAAAGATATTCTAAAAAATATTTAAAAATAATCAGAAATATCGCAATTTAACCAAAAAAGAAATTTAAATAAAAAATCCAAAAAAAAGTTAAAAATCCAAGTTTATGTAAATCTATATGAAAAAATTTTTGGGGGAAATTAAGAAAAATAAAAAAAAGTCAATAAAATTATGTAAAGTTTTATTAAGTGAAAAAGTGAGGAAGGGGGGAGGGGGATTGAGAGGTTAATCGAGTACATGGAAATATTTTATTTTTCTTTCAAACCACTTTTTACTTCTTCAATTTTTTTATTTGAGAGATTCTTCATTATATTTTAAGGTAAAGAACGAAGAATGAAGGAAAGAAAATTTTTAAGAATTTTTTAAGATTTTAAAGGAAAGGAAAGTTAAAAAGGAAGGGAAGTTAAGAAGGTTTTAAAGTTTTTGGCCATTTTTTGTTGACGGGACAAGAAGAAGAAGAAGAAAATGTTTGAGAGGACAAAAGAAAAGATTTTATATGTCTGCTTTCGACAATTGGCAAAAAAGAAAATGAAGGGAGGGGGAGGATAAAGGGGGGGGGGAAGGGAGGCGGCAAACAGTGTAAATATTTTTTCTTCTTTTATTGAGGGAAATAAGCTAAAAAATATTAAAGAGAAGAAAAATATATAAAGTATTTAGTCAAAAACGTTTTTATAATTTATTTGGGGTTAAACTAGCAATTTATTTTTTTTTACTAAAATGAAAGAGATAATTGTTAAAATAATTTTTGGTTGTGACATAAATAGAAACTTGAAACCAATGAATAGTGGAAAAAATAATTTTTGGGAGGATATTTTGGAGGGTTATATTTGGTACAATTTTAATAAAATAACTCTCATATTTAAAAAATAAAAATAATTATTTTAGAATATTTCCGTAAAGTTATGAGAGTTATTTTATTAAAATTAAATTTCTTTTCAGAAAGATATAATTACGCTATGTTTATTTTATGGAGAGTTTATAATTTATTAGTAAAAGTTTAACTATAATTAATATGTATATAGAATTTTCCGGAAAGTTATTATTAATTATAAATTTATTTCCGGAAAGTTCTAACTATAATAAATAAATTACATTTTCCGGAGTGTGTTTATATTTATTCCGGAAAACTTATATTTTGAGAAAGTATATACCTCCTCAAAAATGGACTTTCCGGAAAATGAACTTTCCTGAAATAAATAATTTTTAATTTTTTGTTGCGATATTTAAAAACTATTATGATATTTAACTAAAAATTTAGGGGAGGTTAACTACAAAAATAAAATATATACTATAACACATAAAAATGCCTTCTCTAAAATAATATTCTTTCAATTCTCTAAATATTTTTTTTTTGTTTTTGTTAGCACATCGCCCTTTTCGAAACCTTTCATCCAACAAATTTATTAGGGGATTTACATATTATTATGTGTTTATTTATATTTTTAAATGAAGAAAAAGAGAAAATGTTATAGAAAAATTCAATACGGAAATTATTTAACTATAAAATGATATCAGAATATTTAAACAAAACCAGAAAAAAAAATAAATTCCATTTTCCGGAATGTTTTTAATTATTTAGAGTTATTTCAGAAATTAAACATTTCCGGAAACAATATTCCAAAAAAATATAATTAGAGCAATTTTCCGGAATGTATTTAATTATTTAGAGTTACTCAGAGTTATAACATTTCCGGAAATAACATTTCCGGAAAAATATCCCCTTCTCTCAATAAAATTTATCAGAATTTTCTGGAATGTTTATAATTTCAGGAAAAGTTATTCCGGAAAGTTTTAAAGTTTTGTTTTGCTTATTTTATTTTAGAGTTCATTTTTAAAAAAAATATCAAACAAAAATGGGAGAGAAAAAGCCGTCAACTTGATATATTGAATATCCCCTCTTTTACTCAATACAATTTGCGTGCCTTTAAGCAATCAATCTACTCTATTTTTTAAAACAATAAACAAAATGTTAACACGCAATTTGTGAATTATTTTTAAAATAATTTTTTTCTGGAATTTCTGGAAATATTAATCATTTTAGAAGCTAATTACGGAATATTCAGGAGTTGTTGAGGAGATTTAGGAGTTGAATTCAATCAATACTAACTGGTCATTCAGACTTTAATAGGCCATACCCCGATCTTCCTAAAACTACAATAATTCGATTCAACTAGACAACCCATGTCAAAAATTCCGGAAAACCTATAATTTTCGGAATTTCTATGAGGTATCATAAATATTACTCAAATAATTACATTAACAATAATTACCTCACCCCCCCCCCACGTAATTGATCAAAAACTTTTGTTTTTTTATTTTTAAATATTTATACTCTAATTTAAATTTAAAAAAACAGAAAAATCTTTTCCAAATAAATTAATAAATAAAAACTTTAAAAGTCAACAAAAAAATTTCTTAAAATTAAAAACTACTACATACAATTTCTCTATTAATTTATGTATTTTTATTTTAAGCAGAACAACTAACTCCTCCCTCTCCTCCAAAATAATTTTCTTTAGTCAAAGACTGACAATTTTCACAATCACAAAAAGAACATCCATAATTATTATTTTCCTCATTGAACTCAAAATTTATAATATTAGCATATTCACAATCAAGCACTACACGCCAATAAAGGTTTTCATCTTTTTTGACAATTGATTCATTTAAAGCTACAGAAGCACGATAAAAATTGACTGAAAAATAGAAAATTTATCGTTCAATTTTGTAATGGAAAGTTTATCCCAATAGGAGATACACAAACTAGTGTACCTTGTAATCAGGGATGTCACGGGTTACCCGAAACCCGGCCTTTTTTTCGACCCGATACACGAAACCCGACCCGAGAAATTTTCTAAAACCCGACCCGAAACCCGACATTTTTCTCAACCCGTGACATCCCTGCCTTGTATCCCAAACTAGTTCTTGACAATCTAAAAACAAATACCCTTTTGTCCTTAATATAACCTATCCCAAAAAATTTTTTTTCTTAATTTTCAAAAAATAATTATTTTCTTACAATTTTCACTCTCTTTACAAACAAGCTCAAAAACTGCTGGAAATCTGTTGCAAATTGAAAGAAGACATCGAGCATCCGGCGGGGATTCAACATTTGATGGAACCATTAATTTCTAAAATTGTTTTTTAATTTAAAATTATTATTCTTCAATCACCATTTCATTAAGCAAAAGTTCAACAGTAGCACTATATTGCAAGTGTTTACGGCGAATTAAAAAGCGAAATAGATTTGAGCCTTTAAAAAAATTTTTAAATTAAACTTTAAAAAATTCAAAATTTTTCTCACATAAATTTTGACGAAGACAAAGCAGCCGAACTTTACAAACAGGTTCAGCAACAAAAATCATTCCATTCTCATCAAATTTTAAAAGATCACCAGATTGAAGAAGCAATACAGCACTTGGTATTGTATTGTTAAAATAATGATTGTTTTCGCTTTGACGAGCAGATTTCATAAACTGGAAAATTAAAAGAATTATATAGAATTAGAGATAAAAATATTTCCGGAAATCCGGAAAATATAATTGTTCAGGAATGCATAGGCATTAATTAAAAGGAATACTAACCGGGAAATATATAGTTTCCGGAAAATATTATTATAATATAATATAAAACTTTCCGGAATATGTAAAAAAACTCAAGGAAACGTAAAATAATTTCCGGAAAACAAACTTTAAAGAATTTTGACAAATAGTAAAATTCACGGAATTTGTTAAACGCTTCAAAAACTATTTTTAATTCTTAAAAAAAAAAAATTCCTTACCAACTCAAAATCACAATATTGCTTAATATCACATCCTTTAGGGTATTTAGATGCTAGACGTTGCAAATAAAACAATACACAGCCAAAATCAACACCAAATTTGCTAGCATATGCTAATTCTAATGGTTTATCAGCTTGAGACAAAAACTTCAAACTTGAAAAAAAATAAATTTACGGAAAAATTTTATTTTAAATTTTTGTTTAAAATTTTTTTAAATTTTGAGATTCCAATTTTTTCAATTAAAATTTCAATTCAAAAATTTTTTTTATTTTTTTAATTTTTTTTATAATTCAAAAATTTTTTTTCAATTTTCCAAAAAAAATTTTTAATCCTTACAATTCCTGTGTGTGCCGTTTACGTATTGAAAGAATTTTGGAATAATTTTGTATTCGCCCATCAGTAGAAAGCTCAAAAGCTGGAACTCGTCGATCATGAAATGTATCCTCTGATGTATCAACAATTTTTGATTTTTGAGAAGGAGGCTCCTAAAATTAAAAAAAAATTCTAAATTGAAATTAAATACATTCTCAATCCCCAATATAAGTTACGCCCACTAATTTCAATTTTTATATCTATTGGGTGTCAAGGGCGTATCCAGGGGGGGGCTGGGGGGGGCTAGAGCCCCCCCCGAAATGGGGGAAAGGGGGAAAAAATTAGGAGAAGGATGGTCGAAAAAGTGAAATTTTTTCGCCTATAACCCTCAAATTTTAAAAAATTTTCGCCTGCGGCGCAAAAAATGGAAGAAATCTGGCTTCTTGAGCTCCAAAATCCTCAAAATTTTCGCCTGCGGCGCTAAAAAGTAAACTTTTTTGGCCTACGGCCCTCCAAATTCAAAAAATTTCTGCCTGCGGCGCTAAAAAAAGGAAGAAATCTGGCTTCTTCGGTTCCAAATTCAAAAAAATTTTCGCCTGCGGCGCTGAAAAAGTGTATTTTTTGGCCTACGGCCTTCTAAAATTCAAAAAATTTTCGCCTGCGGCGCTGAAAATATAAAAAGTTATGTACAAAAAAATTTGCCGTAGGAACGCCAAAGTAAACGCCAAAAATTTTTGCGCCCACCCAGTGTTAGCCCCCCCCCGAAACCGACCCCCTGGATACGCCCTTGTTGGGTGTGGAAAGCAAAAAAGAGACAGCCTAAAAAAAGTTAGGGGTTCACCGACTTGACTCATCCCGAGAAAAAAGTTACCCACATAAAAGACAACCCCAATTTAAGATAATTACGCCCCCAAAAAACATATAAAACAGAGGGTTTGTATTAAATTTAAAAAAATTACAAAAACAGTAGAGCTAATCCCGCATTCATTAAAATTATTAATATCCTTCTTTTCATCATTCTCAAGTTGTTCAACATCAATAGTCTCAGGGATTTTATTCGTATTGCTTGTAGTAACCAAAGGAGTAGATTTAACCTTAAAAGTACTTTTTAATTTTTTCCTAGTAATTTTTAAAAACCTTAGTTTCCTCTTCTTCTTGCTCCAAATCATCCCAAATAGTAGTTGATTGATTTATTATATGAGGAATTGTAACATCATTTTGAACCTCTGGAGTTATCGGAAGTCCGATATCATTATTAGTTGTCTTTAAAAAATAAAAATAATTTATTTAAAAATTAATTTCCAAGGGAAAATTAAAATTCTAAACATTTTCCCTTTAATTTTTCTTTTACCCTTATGAAAAAATAGTGAACAAAATTAATTTAAAAATTGACGGGCAAACGAAAAGGACATGTCTAATTATAGACTATTTCTCGTAATTAAAAATCTTTTTTCGTGAAATCGTTAAAAAGATGAAAGTTATAAAAAAACATATGGCCATCTGACTTTGCCAACCAAATTTAAAAAATATATAACAACTGCGTGTACGGTCAAATGAGGCCAGCTTATTTATTTTTAAAAAATATTAAAAAAACCTTTTCATTCCTCTCTTCTTCACAATCATTCATCATCCCCAAATCCTCTTCAAAAATATTCCCACCATTCTCCACAACATTTTCATTGTCAATATTTTCTTCAACAAAATTATTTTCATTAATTATCTCAAAAGCTGAAAGTCCTCTAAGTTGTTCTTCATCCATCGGAAGTTCATCTAAACGAGGTAATCCACCCAAATTATTTCCTCCTCTATTTAAATTCGTTTGTTGTTGTTGAATATTTGAATTATTATCATCAATTAAAGTCCCAATTGAACTATTACTTATTGAAGCAGAAGCTGACGATACTTGGCTAGTTGGCTGTTGCAAAATATTTTCTTGAAAATTGGGTGGGATGCCCATTATTCCACCAGCACGCCCTCCAAATGAAGAATTCATTCGATGTTGAGAAAACTTTAAAAACAAATTTTTATTAAATTAAATGCCCAATTAATTGGAGCTTTAAAAAATATTTAAAAAATATCTTAAGGTGTTAGGAAAGGATGTAGCCAAAATAGAACAAAACGTCTTCCACCTCTCCGAAAGTTTTTATTAAAACATTTTCTAAAGGATCCCCTTCACTAAAAATTAAATTCTGACTTTCAAAACTAAAAAGAAAATAAATAATTTGGTGAGAAACCACGTCAAAACTCAAGTGGAAAAATTTTTAAACTTTGAGTGACAACACTTTTTTTAGAATATTTACGTGCATTGGACACAATTTTCCGTCCTTTAATGGTAGAAAAACTAGAACTTCGTGGCACTTTTTGTCCTTATTGTAAGCAAAAAAAGAGAATACAGGAATTGAAGAGAAAATGGAAGTCCGCAAACGCAAATATTAACAAAAAAAAATTATGAAAATATAAAAAACCTGTTGATGTTGAATAGGTGGCGATGGAATTGAATTATTAATAGTAAATTGTTCAAAACCAGGAGGCGGTTGAGAATATAAAGGCGGAGGCTGTCCCATTTGTGGTGGATGTGGAAAAAATCCTGGAGGACAAAACATTGGCGGAGGAGGCCCGTATGGTTGAAAATGATGAATAGAAGATGAAGGAGTTGTAGCTGAGGAACCACCACCAATCCCTCCATAAAGCGAAGTATTTGAAGGTGAAGTGGACGTTGAGAGTGACTAAAAATTAATGAAAATAAAAAACTTTTAAAATAAATACTCGTTGCTGCAAAACATTTTTTTCGTGAATCTTTTGTCGACAAATATCAGCCAATTTACTTAACTTCAAAACTTCTGCTTCATCCAACAAATCTTCAAAAAAATAAAAGTTAAAATCTCTCTTATACAAATGTAAAGAGTCATAGGGTAATTACATATGAATTTCGCCTCCCCCTTTGCCCTCCATCAAAAAGTAAATAATGGTCAGATTTACTTCCTTTCTCAATTTCAATACATTTCCCCGTAGCTTATTTAAATAGGACACAAATTAAGAGTATCCAAGTATTTACAAAACTAATTGAAATAAAAAAACCTTCCCAAGAATGACCAGGTTTGACTCCATTAATTTTTCCAATTCGCAAATATTTGAGAATATATTCAAAATAATCTGGATTAGCGTCCAATTGCCAACGGCCATTGCCTGAGTCTGGATTCTTAAAAAAATTTTTGAAGAGAAAAAATTAAATTAAAAAGGCTGAAACAAAGTCAAAAAAGCCATAAACACCCCGAATAGTGTTTCTAAAACCCTCCATCCCTAAGTACAACTTAAATTTCAAAAAAAGTAAAAACAAACAAAAGATATTAAACCGCCGCTATCAGTAAATAATTGATCCGGATCAACGTCTTCCTCAACCATTTTTGCCAAATACGATGTTGGATCTCTAGCTAATGAAATCTTTGATGCACGGAACTCCTATAAAATATAAATAATAAACATTTAAAAAAATCATTCGTGCCTGTCCGCAAGTTTAGTCAGCAAATATTAAAATCAAATTCAGGTAACCCCTATATCCAGCGAACTAAAGATCTCCCAAGTATAAACACGCTTATTGTCAGTATACTAGGGACGGGATTGATTGAAAAATAAGGACGTCTCCTAGTCTCTAACTCAAAACGAGGCTATAACCTCGCAACATTGGCCCAGTCAAACCCAGTTCCGACAAAAACCCCTTTTTAATAACAGACACACTTAACGCCCCAATAATGAAAAAAAAATTTAGATTCAAAAAAAACCTTTCCAAGAATATCCAAAACCACCCAACCTCCAGTATATGCTGAGCTAGCCAAAGAAACATTGCTGCAACTTTTACGCATTGGACCACCAACATCTGAGTCAAAACTTAGATTACCATTATTATTATTTGATAAATTCATATTCTCTTATAAAAAATGAAAAGTTAAAATTAAAAAGAAAATTTTTAAAAAAATTAATGAGAATCCGCAAATTTAATCCGCAAGATTCCTCCCCGAAATAATCCCTTATATCGATTTAAATAAGAGAATGTCTTTTTAAAATGAAAGGCAAAAAGAAACTTTAACCAGAACTTCATTGATTTACCCCAAAACTTAATGCTTGGGAATAATTTTTAAAAATTATTTAAAAGAGGGTAATGGCGCGCAAATTTAAAAAAAAATCGAATTTTTATTAAAAAAATATTTCTTTTGATTAAAACAAAATTTAATTTTTAAAAAATTAAAGCAAATTTAAAAAAGAAAAATTATCAATATTTATCAACATTTTATTTTTATCTCATAGCTAAATAAAATTTTTAAAGATATTTTAAAAGTCAGAGAAAAATCTCTCATTTTTCCATTATCTTTTTTCTTTAAATTTTATTTAGCTATAAAACAAATATTTTTTGTCGCAAAATTTTTTTCGAAATTATGACAATATGATGCACATTAATTAAATATTATCAGGAAATAAAAAAGCAGGAAGAAAAAAAGAATATATTTAAGAAATAACAAAAACAAAAAAAGGCTTTGGATGAGCTTAAAATTGTGTTTATTTGAAATGTTTTTTAGTAGTAAAAATGGAATTTAAATTTAAATTAAAGAAGACCAATTAAAATTAAATATATTTCTCTCTGTGGTTTTTGCAAAAAAAATTTTTTTTAGAAAACTTTCCTGCTTATTTTGATTCCCAAAAGATTTAAAAAACAGGATTTAGAGATTCTACAATCAATATCTTGCTCGGAAAAATATTAGAGAATATTCATAAAAATACTAAACTTTTACGGCTCCATTTTAAGCCTCTAAACCAGGGCTCGCGTCGACAAAATGCCAATCAAAATCTTGATTAAAAAGTAGACAGGGACTAAATTTGCAAATAAAAAGTACACTCAAAATTAAATTAGAAAATATTTATTCGTGCTCAAATGTTTTATATTTCTCTCCTAAATGAATCTTTTCTAATAATTTCTTGTTTCTACTGAGCATTTTGTGCATTTCAATGCACGTTTTTGTGGCGCCAAAGGCGCACACACTTTTAAAAAAGTACGAATGCGAGCCCTGAACTAATCATATCGCGATATTTCAAAATCTTTTCATCATCTGAAAAATTATTTTATTATTCCAAGTTTTACTCTTTTGTATTGCAAATTTATTCAAGTTTATTTTTTATAATCTTCGCTTTTGTAATTTAGGGTTTTGTAATCCCTTATTCAATTTTACAATTGTAGTTCAAGTTTATTTTTAAAGTTCATTCTATTCCTTACCAATCAAGTTAGTCATAAACACCTCACATTCATATATTAATGGCAAAACTTGATATTTGTGTGCAATAGCAAAAATGTCCTCAACATGCTTTTCCAACAAATTTTTGTTTATTTCGCCAGTATAGAAAAACTCCAGCATTGCCTGAACAGATTCTGGTTTGAAGTCATTAATTGTGACTTCTCTCCAAAATTATTTTCTAAAATTTTTCGAATTTTTTTAAATCCCTAAACCCCGAAAATCAACCTTTCCCCTTTTTAAAAATAAAACACAGTCACTCCTTCAATCATATCCGTCTGCTCAAACATTTTTCGGAATACTTTGCTGTTCTTTGCTAAAATGCATCGATGTATTTCTATAGCCATATCCGCAACCTGGAAAAATAAAAATTTTGTATTTTTAGACTATTTCAGAATGATTGAGGGAGTAACTATTTCAGAAATAGTCTAAAAAATACAATATTTTTATTTTTCCAGGTTGCGGCACAGCAAAGTATTCCGAAAAATGTTTGAGCAGACGGATATGATTGAAGGAGTGACTGTGTTTTATTTTTAAAAAGGGGAAAGGTTGATTTTCGGGGTTTAGGGATTTAAAAAAATTCGAAAAATTTTAGAAAATAATTTTGGAGAGAAGTCACAATTAATGACTTCAAACCAGAATCTGTTCAGGCAATGCTGGAGTTTTTCTATACTGGCGAAATAAACAAAAATTTGTTGGAAAAGCATGTTGAGGACATTTTTGCTATTGCACACAAATATCAAGTTTTGCCATTAATATATGAATGTGAGGTGTTTATGACTAACTTGATTGGTAAGGAATAGAATGAACTTTAAAAATAAACTTGAACTACAATTGTAAAATTGAATAAGGGATTACAAAACCCTAAATTACAAAAGCGAAGATTATAAAAAATAAACTTGAATAAATTTGCAATACAAAAGAGTAAAACTTGGAATAATAAAATAATTTTTCAGATGATGAAAAGATTTTGAAATATCGCGATATGATTAGTTCAGGGCTCGCATTCGTACTTTTTTAAAAGTGTGTGCGCCTTTGGCGCCACAAAAACGTGCATTGAAATGCACAAAATGCTCAGTAGAAACAAGAAATTATTAGAAAAGATTCATTTAGGAGAGAAATATAAAACATTTGAGCACGAATAAATATTTTCTAATTTAATTTTGAGTGTACTTTTTATTTGCAAATTTAGTCCCTGTCTACTTTTTAATCAAGATTTTGATTGGCATTTTGTCGACGCGAGCCCTGGTTTATACATATGACGCGCCTACTCTTGAGAAGTTAGCTTTTTCAGATTTTGTTTTTCTGCGCCTAATTTTTGGCACCGAAGGCGCCAAAAATCTTGATTTCTTGCGCCGCAGGCGAAAATTTTTTGAAATTTGGAGCCCAAGAAGCTATATTTTTTCCTTTTTCAGCGCCGCAGGCGAAAATTTTGAGAATTTCAAAGGCCGTAGTAGGCCAAAAAAATACATTTTTTTGCCCAATGTCTTCCCCAATTTCATTTTCAATCCAAAATGTTAATTTAAAAGTAGAATACTTTTAAAAAAGTACGAATCGGAGCCCTGTTCTAAAGTGACCAAAAAATGCTCAAAAAATTTCAACAAGTCTTCCATTAATTACAAAGTGGTTGGAAATGAATAAAGAGAAGGGAATTAGTCGAAGAAATAAACAACTTTAAAAAAAGGCAATTCCACTTTAGAAAAAAAAATCAAAAAATTTTTTGATGACAAAATGTCCCCTTTGACTAATTTTTAAGAATTTTAAATCCTTTCCTTTCTACAACCTTTTTTTACAAATTTAAAGAACCATACATCCCTTCCATGAACGCTTTGCACGCTTCTTTCCATCTGTTTGATCAATTGGGTGTGCCCCATCAGCAGTAAGTGTTCCTTGCTTTTTACGTTTTAATTCTCTCATTAAGTCGTAGAAAACCTTAAAAAACAGGAAGTTATGCTAAAACTCAAACTAAAAATTAGGATGACCTTAACGACATGTTCATTTCGAATCGTTTCGATGCGAAATAAAAGTCCCTAATTAGGACCAATTCACTGCATCAAGCCCGTAACCAGGATTTTTTACGGGGGGGGGGGGCAAGGAGCCAAAAAATTCACTTTTTTCCCCAGCCCTTCCCCAAATTTTTTCCTTATCCCCATTTAGGGGGGGGGGGGGTTCCCCATACCTCCCCTGGCTACGGGCCTGCACTGCATGGCTTAATTAACTCATTTGCCAAGGTTCACCGCGTCTCAGCGCGCTAGATTAGTTGGTAGCAAAATCGAGATTTGACAATTAAAAAAAGATAATAAAGAGGAGTGGTCCCGTGGCTAATTAGGATTGTGGAAATCCATGGTTATCCTGATTCGAATCAAATTTTTATTAGGAGCAGGATATCAGGACTCTAACAAGGACATACCCATTAAAAACATTTTAAAAAACAGACATTGCCTATCAATCAAAAAATAATTTAAAAACCTTATCCACATTAGAACGTGTTTTTGCCGAAGTCTCAACATAAGGACAACTCCAAAGTTCTGCGCGTTGTTGAGCCAATTCAATAGGCACACGTCTTTCTGTATCACCCAAATCTGATTTATTTCCAACCAAAACAATAGGAATTGTTGTGTCGAAGTTTTTGACACGAAGGCTTGAAAAAAAGAAAAAAAAAGTTTTAAAAATTAAAAAAATCAAAACATTTGTTCTCGAAATTCAATTGTTTGATCAAAAGAATCTGGATCGGTTATAGAGAAAACACAAACAAAGGCTTCTCCACTTCTGTAGTAATTGTCTCTAAAATTTGAAAAAAAATTAAAGTAGATCCAAAAGTCAGAAATTTTTGGTTTGGATATGGAAGCGGATATCCGTTGATTTCTCAGGATTTGCTAATAATAGTTATGGTTCCAGGATTTGGAAATTGTTTGAAACCGTAGAAATGTTTCAACCTGAACCCTTCAATCCATGGATATAAATGGCTTAACTCGCAAAGGTTTTTACTTGTAGTTGAGGAAAAATTCAGAGTAGCCCCGTAAATTTAAATGTAAATAATAAGGAAATCCAAGCCTTACTAGGGAAGGTTGCGAGGTGTCCGAGCTAAAAACGGTCGAGACCAGGCTCATTCGATGAGAATGTGCCCTTTCTAGCAAGGATTTTGAGCCATTTTTGCCCGTTTTTTGATTTGGCCAAGATATGGCCTTCCAAAGTTCATTTTCACCAAGGAAAATAAGATTGGAAAGAGAAGGCCATGTAAACTAACAAGATACCAGAACCCATACAAGAATCCCGAGCCCATTAAACAATTAACGAGATTTCCTTGTTTCTGTCACGACACATTCTATAAACATCCCTTTGCCTCTTATATAAGAAAAAAATTCAAAAGGGAATAAAAATCCCTTCAAATTTAACAACCTTATAGCAGAGTAATCCTCTTGTCCAGCAGTATCCATAACATCACAAGAACATTCTTCTCCATCCAAAACAACCCTTTTTCTATAGGAATCGGCTTTAGTAGGTTCATATTCTTCCACAAACTTTTTTAGAAAATTAAAAAATTTTTAAAGCTTATCAAAAAAACCTCATCATAAAGAAATTGCAAAGTTAAAGCAGATTTCCCAACTCCCCCACTTCCAACCATTATAAGTTTGTGAACAGAAACAGGGTTTGAGCCTTGTCCAGCAGTACTCATTGTTGTTAATGTAGAAATGTTTAATTTTGGATCTAAAAATTAAAAAAAAATTTTAGAGAATAAAAGACATTTGGTCCCAATTTTAAAAAACCCCCCTAAAAAATCAATGCTGATTTTGGGTATATTTTCGGTAAAATTCAAGTTCGTTACCCCTCCTTTTCCGTCCTCATAGTAGTAAAAATGGTCACTCAGTCTTAGGTTATAGAACTCAACGAGCTGACTGACCATTTTTTAATACTTTGAGGAATGAAAAAGGAGGGGGGACGAACTTGAATTTTAACATATTTTCTTTTTAAAAATCAACTTAATTATTTAAATAAAGGAAAGGAAAATTGAAAAGTTTACTTTAAAAACATCAAAAAAAATAGAAAAAAATTTTGATTTAAGGGCGAATAGAAAAATGAAATATTGGCCAAATAAAATTAAAATATGGTAATCCTTTCAAAATGTCTAATATCTCAAAAAGCCCAAAAGGACAAAATTTTCAGAACGCCCAACCGTAGAAAGTTTCTCAAAATGTCAGGAATTTTGATAATGATAAACTCTCAATGTCAAATGCATATTTTATAGGACGAACTTCGTTTAAGTAGGGTTGGGGTTTTCGAGTCGGGCCGACATTCGAGTCATCTTTTCGGACTTCATTTTTATCGGGCCTGCCCGACCGAGTCTTTTTCTGACTAAAATGCGATGCCCGACCCGATCTTTCGGACCGGGCCGGATCGGGCCCTCAACCCTAGTTATAAGGTACCCTCAGATTTTAATACCTAACATTATAAGATACAACATTTACATCCCGAAGTGTAAATTTTATAGTAAGGTGTTAACCAGAGCCCGAATTTCTTTACCGTATTACCATACGGAATACTGATACCTTCGGTAATATGATACGGTTCGGGCTTTAGCTTGGGCTGTATTTTTAATTCTTTTTCAAAAAAAACAATTAATTGAATTACCCGGTCCAAAAGGATTTTTATTCCTCATTCCCTTCTCTAAATCATTCCCTTCTCCTTCTTGTTCTTCCCTTTCCAAACAAATACCACAACAACAAAAAGCGTGGAATATCCATTTAAAGAATATCCATAATGCTCTAATTCTTATTTGTAACCAATTTTGTATTTTAAATATTTTTTCTCTAAAATCTTCCAAAATATCTTCTCTTCTCATTTTTGATCATTTAAAAGAGGAGAAAACTAATTTTTGATGTAAATTTGTTGAAGTCAGAGAAAAGAAAATAGTGTGTAAATGTTAAGAGAGAAATTAGAAATTAGAGAAAAATATGTAAAAATTGTGTTGTTTTTAGGGTTGAAAAAAGTTTTTATAGGAATATGTAATCAGATTAAATAAAAATATTTGTTGTGTTATGTATTAACTCTTTTTTCTCTCTTTTTTTCTGGACAATTTTTGGAAAGCTGACAAAAAAAATTTTTTTAATGTTTAAAATTTAATAAAAATACATACAAGCAAAAGGAAAAAATGCAAAATTTAAAATAAAGATTTGAAGAATAAAGATGGATCAAAAAGTATTGAAATAAATATGTACATAGAATTAAACAGAAAATTTGGAACATTCAAAGTTTAAATTAGGGTAGCATACCAAGCCTTCGGGGGTAGGAGTGTCGGATTTCTGGGTTTGTCGGAATAGAGCCTTCGGGGCTCGGGTCGGGGTTTTTGCCTAAAAATTCGTCGGGTCGGGGTTTCGGGGGACGGGGTGCTACCCTAGTTTAAATCATATATTAACTGAAATTTTAATTTTTACCATGACTTTGAATTTTAGAGAATTGATAAAATTGTTGTTTCGGAATCGATCCGATCCGAAACTAAAAAACCAAGGATTTTTAGGGTTGGTTTCAGTATCCGAAGATTTTCATTAAATCGACGACAATAGGGATCTATTTTGTTTATAATATTCAATAAAGGGGGTTCCTTTAAAAAATATAATTATTTTCTTAAAATAAAAATGCGAGAATTTTAATAAACAAAAAATAGAAGAGTACACAATAATTAATATATTGCGAATTAAATTTAAAAAAAAAAATAATTTTTGCGCTGAACACAATAAAAATAATGCGGGATTCTCCTATTTTTTATTTATTAAAAAAAGTCGCGCAATAAAAAAGAGAGAAAATAATAAATATGCAAAGAATGAAGGAATGTTTTGATTGAAAAATAATTCAATTTTTGTGAAAAAGAAAAAAATAGGAGGGAGGGAAGGAAAGATTGATGAAAATTTTATGTTTGTGGGGATGTGTGCGTTTATTCGTCTGATTGCAACACACAAAATTTTATTTAGACTGAAATTCTTTTTATTTTTAGATTAGTATGTATTTTAAACAAAAATGTGATTAGGTACTAAAAAAGTGATAATTAGGGTTGCCAAAATGGATCGACTCAGACCGAAAGATCGAGCCGGGCATAGATGTTTGGCCCGAAAAAGACTCGTACGGCCCGACTCGATAAAAATGAGGCCTAAAAAATGACTCGATCATCGGCCCAACTCGAAAACGGCAACCCTAGCAATAATATATTTAGTGGTTTAGACTAGAGCGAAAGGACTGGAAGCGTCACACAAGAATCTCGAAAAGTGCCAATCTTGATAACTGAAATTTCTGTTCGAAATCTCGTCTCGGTTCTATCTCTATTTAGTTTTGATCCTCCTTTTTATAATACAAGAGACGGGGAGAAATTCCTCAATTTTTGGGCAATTTTGAAAACTTTATTTTTAACTATTCAAAATTTCCAAGTCTTAATTTTTAATTTTAAACTTAAAAAAGAATTAAAGAATGAAAAAATAAATAATTTTTAAAAATAATTTAGTAAAATTATTCAGTGACAACACGATTATGCAAAAAAACGTAAAAATAGAGTTGAAAAGTAGACTCCATATATTTACTTACGAGAATAAAATAATATTTATTATTACTATTTTTGGACAAAAAAGATGGAAAAAAAGAAAAATAAATGCTAGGTCATTCAAAGCACAGACCGAGAAAATTGAAAAGAGTTGGTCAAACAAAAGGTCATATTAAATATTTGTTTTGAGGACCTCCCCCCCCCCCCCCCCCCCCCACCTCCACATTACCAAAATGCATGGGAGGTAAAGGAGAGTCTCAAGCTTGACCCCCCAAAATCCTTTAGATTTCCAAACGACTAGTATGCCTAAAAATGCCTAAACTTCCATATATGCCTGAAAATTTAAAAAATTTTTCAAGTGAATAGACGGCATTTTTTATATGGACGGTGTTTTGGTCGGCCCATGTCTTGTGCCGCCATGAGATATACCTAAAAAATATCCTAGAATTTTTTTTGCAAATAAATTTTAGGGAAGATGACCTAGCAAAATATAATAATTTCTTTTCTCGCATCCTAAAATGAAAAGAATTTTTAAAAAATAATTTTGGTTGAATCAAGAAAGTGTAATACTAATAAATAAATATTTTATATTATTTTTCGCAAAAACAGGACAATCTGCAAAACAAAAAATTTAAAAATAATCGGATTCAAAAATACCAAAAAGTCTATTTAAAAATATGTAAAGTCGAAAAATTAGAAAAAAATGAGGGAAAAATAAAAATTTTTGGCAATAAAATTAAGACCTAAATTTTAGAGAAGCATGCCAAAAGAAAGGAATTTTCAGAGGAATTTCAGAATTTTCAAGAATTTTTTTTCAATTTTCAAACCTCAGATTCTGATTAAGTTAAAAATTTGGGTTAAAACTAATCGAACTTAAACCGAAAATCGGGTGTCCAAAACCGGCCATAACCGAAAACCAAGGAGTACCAGCTAAATCGCCAACAACCCTAGTTTTAAAACGAAAAGTTAAATGAGAAAAACGAAATTAAATTAAAAAGAGGAAACACAAAATACTAAAAAAAGGGTTTAGATAACAGACAATAAATTTAGAATAAAATTAAAGATCTGATTGGGGGTTGGAAACAAAATTTATTAGAAACATTAAACAATCACTTTTCTTAATCTTTTGGTTTGATAAAGACTTGTTTGTTTAATGATAAGAAAGGGAGGAAAATAATTTTTCAATAAAAAGATTTTTTTTAATTAAATTTTTAAAAATTAAAAATGGAAGAAAAAATAGGTAGGGGAAATTAGTTTTTAAGAATAAATTTAATGAATAATTTTTTTGAATTTTTATGAGATGTCGTTGAACACAATAAAAATAGAAGAATTTTACAAAAATAAAAAAATATAGGCTAACGAGTATTAAATAAAAAAATAAATAAGAGAGAGAGATTGAATTGTATAGATAAAAAAATAAAAATAAAATAAAGAAGCCGACGACCGATTAAAACAAGTAAAAGTTTCTCTCCTTTTTCTTCAAAGCATTTAGTTGGTGTGTGCTTTATTTTTACTTTTAAATATCGCTTTTCATTTTTTAGTGATTATTGAGAGGGGATTAATAGGTAAATTTAAGAGTATTTTTTGGAAACTTTATAAATTTAATTGAGGAAAGCTATTAGTCGAAGAAAAAAGATTGAGAAAAAATTGTATGTTGAAGCAACAAAGGAAATATTAAAAATCAGAAGCTGAAGCAAGAAATTTGAAAACAAAGAGAAAAATTGTAACAAAAAGGGTATGTGACTCAAAAGAATTTTTTGAAGAAAAAAATTTCAATTTTGGAGCAAACCCCAAATAAATCCCCAAATCCAAATAAATACTCAAATAAACTCAATTTTTACAGATAATATCAGTATAAACAAGTCAAACAGCTTGTAAAATGAAGCAAGCAAGTTGAAGGTGGTAAAGGGGAAGAATAGAAGAGAAAAGTAAAAATAAATAAAAGTAAACCAAGTGGAAAGCTTGTTTATAAGTGATTGTTTGTGTTTGGAATTGAAAAGAAAGGGAAAAAAAGTTGGTCTTATTTAATATCACTTTTTACGTTTACACAAGCTTAACAGTGGAACGAAGATTAATTGAGAAAATAAAATTATTTTTAAAAAAAGAATAAAATAATTATTTGTTGACCGGAAAGAATTGTGGTGAATTTAGTAATAGACGCTATCAACCGGAAATTATTATATTCTGGTCCGGAAAAGGTTAAGTTTGATAGAATTAGACGGAATTTAAAAATATTAACCGGAAAATTTATTTTCTAACATTTTTCCGGAAAATCTACAATTTTTATTTTAATGTTGGAAATAGAATAAAATAAAAATAGAACCAAAAAATATTTTTAAAAAATAAAAATGTTGCCATGGAAATATTTTTAGTGAATTAAAATGTTGAAAAAATTATTTTTAGTAGTTAAAAATCGAAAATAATTGGAAAAATAGTAAAAACCCGTCAAAATCAGCATTATACAAAAAATGAAAAATTTAACCCGGTTTTTATCAATTTTAAATACCCCAAAAATAGTAATTTATTTAATTATAAATACAACCCTTTTACTTTCTTCAAATAAAAATTAATTGAAAAATAAATTCCCCACCTTTAATAGATCAATTTCCGTTTTTCTCTCGCTCAGTAAACGGTCCACAGATTTTGTTGGCTAATGAAGCAAAAATAAAATGGAAATTGATTTTAAATAAATATTTTGAATAGTATTTTATTCTTTTGTTTATTTGTTAAGCTAAAATTTAGAAAAATTGATTGAGAAAAAAGTAAATAAATAAATAGAGAGGGTAACCCCCTTGTACTCTTTTTTTGTTCAAATTTTTGGGAAAAACAATTAAAATTTAAATAATAAAATAATCTAAATTGTTTAAACTCAAAATAGGAAGGAAAGGATGGAATAAGCTTTATAGATTTTTATTAAGTGAAATATTTTTAGAAGAAATTTTTAAAAATAATTCTTTTTCTGGGAGTAATTTCTAGACTTTCTTATATTTTTAAAACAAAATTTATTTTATAAAATAGTGGGTCTATGCTCTGTGGGATTTCGCTCAGGAGCCGACTCCGTGCGGAGCTAAGATTTTAAAAAAAGGCTGGGGAACCAAAAATATCAAATAGTCTTTAATACAGCCTCTCCAAATTTAACTTTTAAAAAGCCAAAAAACAATTTTCTTAATAAAAATACAAAAATCTCTCTCGTTTTATTTCAAAAATAAAAATAGATTAAAGACTAATATCTAAAATAAAAAAAATAAAAGTATAAAAATGAGAGCATTTTTAAAATCTCCGAAAATGGTTTTGAGAGGTTCTATTCGATTAATATATTGAGTGTATAAAATTGAAGAAAAATATTTTTTTGATAGAAATTGGGAGGAATGTGTGTGTAAATAAAAAAAGAAAATAAATGAATCATCAATAATTTCTCTTAAAAAAATTTTTTTGGCTGTTTCATGAAAAATAAATATTTTTTTAATGATGATAAAAAATAAACGTGGAATTAAAAATTTAATCAGGGGCAGATAATAAATGAAAATTAAGAAGCTTTAGGGGTATGTTAGTCATTTAGAAATGATAGTCAACATTAAATTCTCACATTTTTGTCCACCTTTTTGAACACCACTGTAAATTGAGGGGGAAAGAGTTGAGGGTAACCGAGGCATTTCACTTTTTCTCAGAAAAAAATTTCTCGTAATTTATTCAGAAATTTTTCTTTTAAAAATTTCTCCCAATAACCATATTTGACAAAAATCTAAAACCAGGGGGTCTAAAAGTCGGATTATCCGGAGGATCTGAAAATTGAGGGGTCTAAAAATTGGATTATTTATTTTTTAGATTATTCAGTCAAAAAACATGTTAACAACAAACTATAAAATTTTATCTCAAAAACGGAGCCGGAACCAAAAATCTGTAGTTTCAAAAATCAACAGAGTTGTCCACAAATATTTTTATAATCATTTAAAGAAAAGGTATTTATCAGAAATTTCTCTAATTTCTTTAAATTGTAAAAATAAAATAAAAATTCATCAAAAATTACAAAAATGCTTTTATTCTAAAAAATGATAAACATAGCAAATGAAATATTTAAATTTTCTTATATTTTTAAATAACAGAAGAAACTTTTTAAAAATTAAATTTTAAGCAAAAAATTACAATTTCCCATCAAAATTATTTTAATTTTAAAAAACAAAAATTTAATTTTGGATTTTTTATAAAATGAAAAAAACTGAAACAAATATTTTGGTAAAAGACATTTGCGGACAGAAAGTTGCGGACTAACTGAAAAACATTTTTTTATTTTTTAGAAAAAAAATGTTTAAACAAAAATTTAGGTAATTTATTATCAAAGACGCGATGTCCACAAGATTTCTAAAAAATTACTTTTGGCAAATATTTAAGATTGTCCGCAAATCTCTGTGCGCCAAAAATATTTCAACCCCTCCCCACATTTTTCCTTAACTTTTATTTTTAACTCACAACTCCAAAACGTTTTATACGAGCCTCCTTTTTGGTTTCCATATCCTTAAAAATAAAAAAAAATTTCAAGTCAATTTAAAGGTAAATTTTTTTACTGAATTGAGAGAGAAAAAGTTTAGCCCTGGGCAGGCATCGATCCAACGAACATTTGGTAGTTGTTCTACCGGGCGCTGCCTTCATGTTTTCCTATCCTTGCCTATTAAGCGCTTTAAATGCTAACCAGCTAAATCTCACTTATTCCTTACAATCTCAAATTCGAACACAAAAAATTTCATTTAAGTGGATTCACATCCCCAAATTAAAGGTAAAAAAATTTTTTACGGACATAGAAATGGAAAAACTTCCATTTCCAAACTTTAGAAAAATTAAATAAAAACTAACCCCACTCCCAATAACTTTTCCAAATCGTTTTTCTCTTTTAGCCAAAATTTCACTTTGTTCAGATTCAGAAGCACCACCCCTTTTCAATGGCAATCCAAAACGTTCAGCGCGTTTTAACATTTTACTGTCCTCGTCTGTTGTCTTTCTTTTTTCATCGGTTATACCAAAACTTCAAAATTTAATTTTTTAAATTTAAATTTTAAAAAAATTAAAAAAAACCGAGCAGCTCTTTTCTCCTTAGCCTCTTCTTCATCCTTTTTTGTTAGAATCTTCTCTCCTTCCTACAAAAAATATAAAAGAATTTAGCTAGAGAATTGAAAAATTTGAAAAAAAAATTAATTTTTGCGAAGATGAGATTGAAAGAATGATATGACAAAAATGTGGATTTTGCTTGTTTCTCAATTATTTTCAAAGTTTTGCCCTATTTTCTGCTCCATTTTTTACCCATTCTATTTAGTAATTATTATAGATATCAAAAGCGTATCCAGAGAGTTTTTTACGAAGAGTTGGATAGTAATATAACCTTCTTTGCAAGAAAAAAATTATTTTTGAGAGTTATCCACATATTTTTAGATGGTTAGGAAATAGAAATCCTCCTTTTTGTATTTTTGATTATTCTCTTCCCGTTTCTTTGTTGGGGGAGCGCGGGGGGGGGGGGAGAATTTCCCCGCCGAACAAAAAATATATATCCTTCTCCCATTTTTCAAATTTTTTCCATTTAAACATCAAAATAGAAAACCTTATTTCCCGAAAAAGATCCAAATCTCTTTTCTCTTTTAGTCAATATATCGTCAGATTCCGACTCAGAAACACGTCGTTTTACAGGCAACCCAACACGTTCAGCTAATTTTAACATTTTTACATCTTCATCGGTTGTTCCCTTCCTTTTTGATTGATCCTCACTTAAAAAATAATTTTCAAAAAAATTATTTAAATAAAAAAACCGAGTGATTAGTTTTCCCTTAATTTCTTCCTCCTTTTTATCCTCATCAGTTTTATTTGCTCCCTTCTCCTCATCATTATTTTTAATTGATTCATCGCTGTTATCGCAACTAAAAAATTTTTTTTCATAAAATTAAATTCAAAACTGACAGAAACAAGGGGTTTATACCCCAAAAATCTTCAAAAGGAGCCCAATTTAAAAAATACCCATACTCCCCCGTATTTTCTTTAAAAAATTAAAAACAAAAAAACCTCGCAGGTTGTTTTTCTTTTCCCTCTTCAATATCTTCATTTGCAGTAGTAGAACTGTGTGTATCCTTTTCATCATCCAATCCCAAAACCTCATCCATATTAACGCCAGAAAGGTCAATACTTTCACCACCAGGCCCCTCTTCAAGTAATTTTTCTTCTGCCATTAAGGAATCAAAAAGGCGAGTAACCAACTCAGATTTTGGTCCAGAGGCTGGCAATTTACGACTTTTGAGTTTTTCACGAATTTGAGCCACCTAAATAAAAAAAGCGAGAATTGGAGAAATATTAAATATATTTTGAAGGATTTAGAATCCTAACGTTCAGAATTAGCCAAAAAATAAAACACAAACCGTCAGCTTTTCAAGTTCTTCCTTTGATGCCATTAATAAAGTCAATGAAAGCAAATAAGCTAAATTTTTAAATTTAGAACATATTTAAAATTGTTTAAAATAATAATAAGAATATGCAACTGTAAAATACAAAAATAATTTGTAAATAAAATTTTATTTTTTAAAATTCAATATACTAAAACAATAAATACTAACAATAAATTAATTTCTAATCATTGCAGAATCAACGACACTCCATTCTACAATGATAGTTTTTATTTGCCATTTTCGTTTCGCCAGAGTTATAGTTAACATCAATATACTTGCAATTGTTTAAAAAATAAAGCAAATTTGGTTGAATATCTTCTTTTTTAATTTCTAAGAAATTTTTAATAAACTCGAAGATTTCTTCTTTATTACTTTCAAAAGTTCCTGTAGCAAAGTCTTGACCATACGTAAATTTATGGAACCTAAATAAGTGAAAAAAATTATTTTGAAATCAAGCTAGTAAGAGAAAATTTAATTTAATAACTCACGATTCACTCATTTTAAATTGCTTTTTTGCTTGATTTCTTGCATCCTCTCCATCCATACCAAGAGTATCATAATGGGGAGATTGGTCAATAGCATAGCAACATAATCGTTTTGTTGCTTTATGGGTTAAGATACACACATCAAGTTCAAGAAAAAGCAGTTTAACGGCATAAGACGCGGAAAGCCAAAGTTTACTTGATGATTGAATCCAATCATCCTTGTTGAAATATGTATCAGAAGCAATGAGAAATAAGGAGGGATCGTATTGCAAATATACCTAAAATTGAAAAGATGAATATGGGTCGTGAGACCATCGTTTGTGATGCTAATATGAACTCGGACATGCCTTAAATAATCTCTTAATGTATATTGTGAATAATTACATGATAACACAAATTTATTAACTTGAGGCACTTGTCGTTTGTAGGGTAATCATGAACAATTGGGGAGACATACTTAAATTATAAACTCTGAAATCGGCATGGCCGATTCAGCATGTTTGATTACCTATGTAACCCTGATCCAGGAACCGAACCAAAACTAAGTTAATCCCAGACTCAAATCCCAGACTCTAATTCCCATTTCTATCTTCCCATTTATAAATTAATAGTTTTCTTTTCTTTGAACTTTGCCTCTACACTTCCGCTTAATTCCACTATATTATTGTTTACAATTACAACAATTCCTTCCCAGCCTTTCCATTACACGTTCACGTGAATTCCTATTGTTCCACTTTTTCCCAATCACTTCCCATTATCCATTCACATGAACTCCTATTATTTCCTCTTATTCCCGACCACTTTCCCAACTAATCACATTAACAATCTCCACTAATCCAACTTGTTGACTATCGCTTATTCCATTCCCCACTCCCCTTTTCCCAATTTATAATGATTCCATTCCCTCCAATAATCATCGCAGTTTTATCTCAGTCCAGTCCAATCCAATCTCAGTCTATCTCACTCCAGTCCAATCCATTATCCAGTTCCTTAACTTTATTCATATTCCAAATGTTTACTTCGTCCTCGCGCAAATCCTATCAACTTTATACAGTCCTATAATTTCCACTTATCAATTTCACTTCCTCAATCCATTCTAATCCATTTATTAATGTTCATTCAATAAGTATATAAACAGTATTTGGTGAATTGGTTTAGAAACGGGTAGGACCTCTGTAAGCCCACTCTCGCACATCCACTAATTAATATCCACACACACATCCACTCAGATCCCGAATCCATATACACATATACAACACCCCAAATAACTAACATACTAACTCCTAAATAAAATTATTTTCAGAAAAAATAACAATTTTTAAGGTGTTTTAAGGTGTCTCCCCAATTGTTCATTATTACCGTTTGTAGGGTTTTGCGGAGTTATATAAAGGCGTCTTTTGTCTTAGAATATTTGATGTTCCAAAAATGTTTAACCAAACAAGTTTTATACAGATTTATGAAACAATCAGCCTGTCCTGGAACTCTTAACAAGATAAATTAACCTAGAAATGTAAATTTGCTCCCGTATCCTAAAAGTTGTCTAAACAAATTAATAAAGAAAAAATTACCCCCGGTGCCAAAATTCGAGCCCTTTTAGAAGTAACAATAGGCGCAACAGGAGCGTTAGAATGTGTTCTTTTCAAAACATTGGAAAGATTGATGATCTTGCTTAAAATTAATATTTTAGAGTATTTTTATATTTGAAATAACCTTGATGACGGTCAACCTTGTTCGTTTGCCATTCTTTTCAAAAATTTAAACCGACAAAAAATTTAACTGTTTTAGAATAGAATCAACTGAAATAATAAAAATTTTAAAAAATATAATATTAAAAAACAATATAAAAACGTAAAGAAACGTTAAGAAAAAAATTCGTTAAAAAGCCATTATTCATTTTTATATAAAATTATATTTGAGATAAATCGAATCAAATGGAGAATAAAATATAATTGACAGTTTCGAAAATTTCATACTATAACGATAAATTTTTACAATATTTAAAACATATAATCGAAATAATACGAAACCGTCAATTAAAGATTATCTGAAAATATATTTTAAAGTAAATATAAATTTGAGCAAATAAATTCGAAAATAAAATTCGTTCAAATCACCAACATTCAATGGTATAATAATACTTCTCATTTCCTAACTTAACAGTACCGAAGCTACATTTAAAATTAATATATTTCCAATTTTTTAAAAACTTCATCAAATTCTTTTTGATCTTGTCATAATCTTTAATTTTCATAAAATTCTGAACAAATTCAACCACATCTTCTTTGTTAGCTTCATAAGTCCACTTTTTAATTTTAGAGCCATAATTATAACACTCAAGTCTGAATAAAAGAAAAATTTTTAAAAGCATTTTGCATTTAAAATTGACAAGAAAAAATTTTTGTTAGCAAAAATTATAACTGACGTCATTGCTGCCGAAAACTGATCTTTTGCTAATTGCCTTGCCATAGAACCTTCAATGCCAGGTTGATCATAAACTGTGGATTTATCTATCGCATAATAACACAAATCTTCGAGACCATTCATAGATGTAATGTTAACATTTATTTTGAGAAACAAAATTTTTACAGCATACGAGGCAGCCTTCCACAATTCACGGGATGATTGTACCAAATCTTTTTTATTGTAATAATACTCAGCAGCTTTAAGATAGGAAAAAGGGTCGCATTCGTCCTAAAATTATGAAGATTAATAATGAGTCATTTGTTTTTTTGACTCTATGCGAACACAAAAACAGGTATTTAACTTAAACAATGACTGATCCTAAATCGAAGATCCAACTAAACTCATGAATATTTTTTAAAATAAAAAACCCAATGTGTTAAGTTTATTAAAAAGAACAAAAATATACTCCAATTGGAAGAATTTTCGGCCGCTTCTCAAAAAGAAATATCGCATCAGAAGTAGATCTCTTGAGTGTTCTTTTCCTGTCACTACTTTCAGTTTTTGACGAACATCTAGTTTTTGACGAACTTAAAATTAAATTTAAAATTTTTTTATTTAAAACTAACCTTAATGACGGTTCAAATTGTTCTTTTCCCATCCTTTTCAAAAATTAAACCAACAAAAAATTTAACTTTTTAGAATCAACTAAAATAATAAAAATTTTAAAAAATATAATATTAAAAAACAATATAAAAACGTAAAGAAACGTTAAGAAAAAATTCGTTAAAAAGCCATTATTCATTTTTATATAAAATTATATTTGAGATAACTCGAATCAAATAAAGAAATAAAATATAATTGACAGTTTCGAAAACCTTCATAACATGTAACGATACAAAAATTTAAAATAATGGAAAGAATACGAAACCGTCAATTAAAGACTATCTGTAAATATTTTCTAAAGCAAATATAAACTTGAGCAAATCACCAACATTCAATAGTATAATAATACTTCTCATTTCCTAATTTAACAGTACCAAAGCTACATTTAAAATTGATATATTTCCAATTTTTTAAAAACTTCATCAAATTCTTTCTGATCTTGTCATAATCTTTAATTTTCATAAAATTCTGAACAAATTCAACCACATCTTCTTTGTAGTCCTCATAAGTCCATTTACTAATTTTAGTTGCACAATTGAACCACTCAAGCCTGAATAAAATAAATTTTTTTAAAATCTTCATAAAATTTTGAACGAACTCAACAATCTGCTTTTTAAATTGACAAAAAATGTTTAAAAATTATAACTGACTCTATTGCTGACGAAAATTGATCTTTCGCTAATTGTCTTGCCATAAAAATTTTAGTCTCGATTTCATCATAAACTGCAGATTTATCTATCGCATAATAACACAAATCTTCGAGACCATTCATAGACGTAATGTTAACATTTATTTTGAGAAACAAAATTTTTACAGCATACGAGGCAGCCTTCCACAATTCACGTGATGATTGTATCAAATCGTTTTTATCGTAGTAATATTCAGCAGTTTTAAGATAGGAAAGAGGGTCGCATTCGTCCTAAAATTCGTGGCGCGACATTTGGGGATCAGACTTTTGGGGACCCGACAATTGGGGACCCGACATTTGGGGACGAAATAAAATTTAAAAAAAATTGAAAATCTACCTAAAGCAGGTCTTTAATACATAGTCGGATATGGATAAAACATGGTCATTGACTCAGCTCGATGTCTGAGTCGAATGAGGGTGAAAACCAAGCGCGGGAGTTAACGATCAAGCGCGGGAGTCAACAGCCCCGTGCTTAACTCCCGTGCTTGACTCCCTTGACATTTGACTCCCGCGCTTGGTTTTCACCCTCATTCGACTCAGACATCGAGCTGAGTCAATGACCATGTTTTATCCATATCCGACTATGTATTAAAGACCTGCTTTAGGTAGATTTTCAATTTTTTAAATTTTATTTCGTCCCCAAATGTCGGGTCCCTAAGTGTCGGGTCCCCAAAAGTCGTATCCCCAAAAGTCGTCCCCAACTGTCGGGTCCCCAAAAGTCTGATCCCCAAATGTCGGATAGCCCTAAAATTATGAGGATTAATGAGTCATTTGTTTCTGACCCTATGCGAACACAAAAACAGGTATTTAACTTAAACAATTAATGCTGTAAAAAACGAGTGACTAAGCCTAAAGCGAAAATCCTACTAACAATAAACTCACGAATATTTTTTAAAATTAAGAACCCCAATGTTAAAAATCTATTTTAAAAAATATACTCCAATTGGAAGAATTTTCGGCCGCTTCTCAAAAAGAAATATCGCATCAGAAGTAGATCTCTTAAGAGTTCTTTTCCTGTCACTACTTTCAGTTTTCGACGAACTTAAAATTTAATTTAAAAAAATTTTTATTTAAAACTAACCTAAATGACGGTTCAAATTGTTCTTTTCCCATTCTCTTAAAATTTTGAACAAACAAACAACATTGAATTAACTGTATTTGGAATTAGACTGAAACGAAGAAAATTTAAAACATTAAAAAATATTGTGTATAAAAACGTCAAGAAACGTTAGGAAAAAGGTGGATTAAAGAGATTCTAATTTATTTTTAATTTGAAATTTATAAAAACCAATAATGAACCTCAACTTTAAATATTCTCCATTTGTGTTCTAGTTCAAAAAATGTATCTAAATCGAAATGCATCTCCTCTAATTCTGAGAGTATTTAAATTCGAGGTCAGAATATATTTAAAAAAAACATCATTTAAATTTAATAATTCGGCTCTTCTTTAACATAAAAAGGATTCGAAAGTCCTTGTAAACATTTTTTCTTTGTACAAAAATAACCAACTCTATACATTCCACAATTTAAAGAAGGAAATTCAATACAATATTTTCCTTGATCATCTAAAGGACAAGTTAATAAATAAACCCAATTTATTGGCTTATTAATAATTTCAATATTTGTTGAATATAAACCAATCCAATCAAGATTTGATGAATAAACAGTCCAAAATTGTGTTGGAATTGTTAAGCGACAAAATAGAGGAATTAATTGTTCCCATCTAATTAAAAAATAAAAAATGTTTTTGAATTTTTATAGGGAAAAATTTAAATTGGTCCGAGTCTGGAGCCATCAGTTGACTTATTTTTTTTGAGATGTTCTGAGACTCATTTTTATTTAAAGATTGATTCAGAGCAGACTAAAAATCTACGGAGTGTCCCAGACTTGGCGTAAAAATCAAGTTTCAGAAAAGAATACAGAGTTAGTTCACTGAATCCAAAGATGAAATGATGGGAGAAGGAAAATACCAAAAAGAAAAGGTAAAATAAAGAAATCATCAACAAAAAAATTCAAAAAATTTTTCCAAAATTTTTTGTTTTGAAAGTCAGGTAGAGAAAACCTTTGCCCAAAATAAATTTTAAAAAATTTTAAACCTCGGTATGTGCTCAAAATAACAAGGCCAAACAGCCAATTCAGCTTTAGTCAAAATATTTGTTGAAGAATTAATTCCAAGAGTAAATTTTGCAGAAACAGGAAAATGATCAGATAAAGTAATTCGACGGCAAGAACGATATTGTTTAATTAAAAGTGAAGAAGAATTGCTATTTTTGTTACTTTTAAATAGTATTCTGTCACACCATGAAGGAATTCTTTGTTGATCAAATTTGCCTGAACCGACCTTTAAAAAATTTTTTTGGAAAATATTTTGCTAAAAAATGTTAGGAAAATAAAATCTGAGGCTACGTTTTTATTTACATTTTTTGCATAATTCTCTCCTAACCTTTCCGAGTCGGCCTAATTGTAAGACATATTTTTTAGAAAAGAAATTGATCACATAAATTTAAAAATGTTAACAAAGGGTTATTCGCACTTAAAATATTAATTTCTCATTTTTTCGATATAATTTTGAGCAATTGACGACCTATTGCAAAATCATGATTTTTTGTTACGGGGCCATTTGCTCTATTGAATAGAAGCAAAACTAAAAAATACAGTCAGAGTATCCTAAGTGTAAAAATTAGATTTTCTAAAAAAACCAAGCCGCAAAAATATAAACTTGAGCAAAAATATAAGCTCAAGAAGCGAGCACCCCAAAATTTAACAATTTACAAAATAAAACAAAACCATTATTCTATAAGTTGGCTTAAATCTAATAATTCCTTCTTCAAAATCTTGAAAAACTTTTTTCAATCTTTTTGCTTTTATTAGTTGATCATGGGAATTTGCAATATTTGTAAGCATATCAACATCATCTAATTTGTTTAAAGCATATAATAATTGTTGAGAATCAGAAAAATCTTCAACACGGAAATTGAAATCGCCTAACCAAATAATGTGCCTTTAAAAAATTTTTTAAAGAAAAAATATTCTTATTTTGTAAAAACAAAGAAATTACTCCCATGGACTAATGTCAAAACACAAATTTGTCATTTCTTAGTCCATTTGATAAAAGCACTCTTAACTTACTAATACGAAATAGCAAAATGACTGGACAAGTTTAAACGAGTCCAAATTACTTTAAAATAACCAGAAAATTGAGGTGGATGGTTTATTTAGAACAAGGCTATTTTCAAAACATTTGCATAAACCTAAAAAATTGAAGTTAAAAAAATCTCCAAACTTTTTTACACCATTTTGGTGGAAAATCTAAAGGGAATTTAATTTACAACCCAAAAGTTTAAATTAAAATAAAAAAATATACTTTTTGGGACAGTCAATTTCAGGAAATGTACAATTTAGAGATTGCTTATATTGATTAATTCTATCACGCAAAAATTTTTCTTGAGCAAAGAAATGACTAGCAATAAAAACAATTGAAATACCAGAGCGAAATAATAACCGAGAAGATATTGTGCCTTTATATCCAATTGTGCCAAATAAACTGCTTCTACACCAACGCTCATCGATAAGGTCAAGCTGAAAAAATTCTTTTAAAGAATGGAAACTAAAAGATTATCAAATAAATTGGAGCTAAAAGGATTCGAACCTGCTCAATATCAACACAAAACAACGAATTAACCAACTTAACCAAAGTAAAGTAATTCGCTTTAACTGCTAAAATAGAACCCCATGGGTTATCTTTGCATCATTCTCAACAGAATCCATTCATTAAAGCTACTTTCTATCTTAAGACATAAATAGTTCCTGAACCCATTAATCTAGTCTGCAGAAAATGATCTGTTTATTGTTAGTCTAAAGTCCCATTCAGGGAACGTTAAATGACCCAAGCACTTGACAATAACAATTTATTAGTACGCCTCATAGAAATAGAGCCTTTTAACGGAGCCTGAATAGAATAAGGTAATCACGAAAAAGGAGATATTCCAATTTTATTTAGAAAACTGGTTGAAGAAGTGAATTGATGATGGAAAGAATGAAAGCTTTAGACGACCCCTAACTTTACAAAAAATATTAACCATTTGTAGCAAATCCACTCTTAAATAAATCAACAACATATTCGAAGCCAAACAAATTTTATTAACCAAAGAAAAACTTTTCTCCCTCATCCAATTAGTTAATTGTTCACACCAAGTATTTGAAGTTGTTTTTAACATTTCTGCATGAGGAACTTCCTAAATTTTTAAACTTTTTATTTTAAATTTAAGCAAAAAACCTGCAACGCAAAACAAACGATTTGAGAATCATTTAATTCTTCAAAGTCCAGCCAACACTTAAAAAGCAAAATTTTTTTTATAAAATTTATTTAAAATATTTACAATAATATCATCCTGTAAAGGCTTTTGTTTATTTACATTATAGGTTATTGCTGCAATTTTAAATTCCATCTAAAAGGGAATTCATTGAAAAATTTTTTTTTGAAATTCTAGAAAATTAAAAACTCTCACAAAATTACTCTAACAAAATTTTGGCTCCCATACAAAATACCGAATTCTTAAAATATGGAATCTCAAAATCGCGAATCGGCTAAAAAAGCTCAAAATATGGAATCTCAAAATATCGAATCTCAAAATATGGAATCCCAAAATATCGAATCGGCCAAAAAAGCTCAAAATATCGACAATGCGGCAAAAGCCAGTTGAGTCTGAACAATTTTATCAACAACTTCGAAAAAAATTTAAAAATATGCAAAAGGGTTTTTCTAGGGTAAAAAATATGCTGATTACGAATCTGAGCTCGGATTTTGAAAAAGTCGAATCCCAGACCATGAACCGAGCTTCGAATCCCGAACCGAATTTCGATTTTCCGAATGATAGCTCATTTGAAAGAGCACGACGAGCTGCATCGACTGATACCAAAATCAATGAAATCCGACTTTATTGGACTGAGATACAGACCCCTGAATAAACTGAAAAAGACCTGCACTCAATTGGCGGCACTCAAACGGCCCTTTTCGATTTAAAAAATTCGACATTTTTAACCGGAGCAGTTCAACTGAGTCCGCACGATTGAGTCCCCACGATTGAGTCCGCACGATTGAGTCCCCACGATTGAGTCCCGGCACAATTGAGTCCCCACGATTGAGTCCGCACGATTGAGTCCCCGTTGTATATACCTCAATTGAGTCCCCGTTAAAAATTCCCGGTAGGAATTTTTATTTTCCTAGATTTTTTTATTGTTTTTTTTTATTTTTTTGTTTTTCTTTTGGGGTTTGCAACTAATTTTGTTAATTAGTTGACCGAGCATCCACTCAAGTCCATCCGAGCACTGAATTTTCTCAATGAGGACGAGAGGGAGGACGAGAATCTTGTGTAGGTAAAAGTTTAATTTTTATTTTTTAATTTTAGATTTTATATTTCAGGTTGGTCTAACTTTGCTCATCACGTGACGGACTTCATCCCACGGCTGCAACGATGGGAAATTTGAAAAGGTTTGGAATTTTTATTTTGTTTTTCGTTTTTATTTTTAAAATTTTTTAGTTGATTTTCGTCAGTTTCTGACTGGCGATTTTCAAGTTCACAGTTTCTGAAGGAACGAAGGTGGTGAACTTAGGAGAACAAAAAACGAAAGAAAGGCCCTTCTTTGGCACAATAATTGAAGCTAGACTTTGGTTTTTTTTAATTTTTTTGATAAAATTTTTAAAAAATATTTTTTTATTTTTTTTTCACATTTTGATTTTCTCCCGTATCCAGGTAAATTCTGCCGGAGTCCGGAAATTAGGAAGGAGTTTTTACGTTCGTAATTTAGATAGTTTCCCCTACCCTCCATAGCAGCACAAAAAGTTTTTCCAGCGAAGATTCTGTTGGTCAAAATTTGTTCAGAATCATTCAATCAACTTGATTTTGGTCTTATTCAACTCATCTCGTCGATCCCTTTCGAATGAGCTATTTTTTGTTTATTCGAATGTTTCGCAACAAAAATTCCCCATGGAATTCCACCAAAAAATCCACCATTTCGAGCCCCATATCTCGGCGAGAACTTGTTCAACAATGTTGATTTTGGTGTCATTCGACTCACTACTTTCGAATGAGCTGTCATTCAAAAAATCTCTCGATATCCCTCCTAATCCCCAAACCCACAATATCCATCTTAATCTCTCCGAATTTGTTGATATCTGCCTTAATTCAACCGATATCCCCGCTTAAATCTACTTATATCCCTTGATATTCACCAATATCCATCTTGATACCTCGATGTCGCATACAAGTCCCCTGATATTAACATTAATCCCTCCAAATCCCCAAATATCCCTCTTAATCTTTTTTAATATAATTAAATCTAGGGGACTCAATTGAGGTATATACAACGGGGACTCAATCGTGCGGACTCAATCGTGGGGACTCAATTGTGCCGGGACTCAATCGTGGGGACTCAATCGTGCGGACTCAATCGTGGGGACTCAATCGTGCGGACTCAATTGAGGTGTACCGATTTTTAACTACTTTTTAGCCGATTCGGTATTTTGAGCATTTTAGCCTATTCGAGATTTTGAGATTCGATATTTTAAGATTCCATATTTTGAGCTTTTTTGGCCGATTCCATATTTTGAGATATTTTTCCCGATTCGGTATTTTGAGCTTTTTTAGCCGATTCGCGATTTTGAGAATTCGGTATTTTGTGCGGGCACGAAAATTTTAACTTTTTTTAGTTATATTTCCTTCCTTTTTTCCTCTAAATTCTCCATTACTTCACACATCTCTAGTCAATCAAAAATACTGACAGACAAAACAATACTCAACAAAAACGATACAACGGGCAAAATTTTACAAAACGACAAGGATAACATGTGACAATGTTATTTATTGTGCTGTGATCCATTTTGTCAAGTACCAATTTGGTTGGTGCCATAAAAGTCGCTACACTTCTTAATTATTTTTCTCTTCTTTTTTTCTCTAATTTCTTTTATTTGCAAACTCTCTACTCTTTTTGTTCTTTAGTTTGTTTTAAAAAATTTTTATAAACATTATGCCAAATTCTATGCATTTTTAAATTAAAAATGCTCAAGATAAATAATTCCCCTTAAGATAATTCCCACTACACTCGCTCAAAGGAGTTATTAATAGTTGTTATCTTCACTCGTATATTAAATGTTCTTTTATTCTCATTTTATAGGTTAAATGAATTCAGCGATTATAATTGATATTTCTGAGAATGGAGCAAGTTTAGATGATGACAAACAAAAATGTAAAAATGATGTAAATGATGTTAAAAAGTATTATAATGATGATATTGTAAGATTCTACCATGACAGCAAGAATCCGTCACCTCTTTCAATTCAGCTACAAAAAGAGAATGTGAGTTTATTTAAATTTAGTTGAAAAATAAGTTCTTGTATTTTATTCGAAAATGCAACAGAATAACTAGATGGGCACCAGTTTCGACTTTTTGGTGTTTAGTCTTTCGCTTTTTAAAATCAGTTTCGGCAGACACACCCAAGATTTGCTTTGGGTGTGCTTTTATGCTTCATGACCTCTTTTATGTTTCTTAGGTTTTTCGCTATCCAGTCATGAACAGAATTGCTGTAGCTAGAATATATTGACATTGACCCCATTTTCTCATCAGATAAGAAATCCTTTCCCTTTAGGGGTATAGAAAGAAGTTCTAGTTGTTTGCTTTGCTTGTACCAGGGGTGGGCGCATTGCGTTATTTGCGTTAAATTTTGCCTTGCGTTGTGTTTTGCGTCTTGCGTTTTTTGAGATTGTTCTTGCGCCCACCCATGGCTCGTACTAATAAATTAAAAAATAAAAATTAATTTTTAGACTAAAAATCATGAAATTAATATACTCAGAAAAATGAGCAAAAACTTTCTTAGTGGATATGATAAACAAAATGCAATCTATGCCTTAACTTTATTTGTTAAAAGAAGATTATTAATTGTTAATTCAAGTAATGTTAGTGAAAAAATTACGGTAATTTTTAGTTAAATTTGAGAGAAAATTAAAAAAAATTTAAAAATTAAATTTATTAATTTAAGTATCCAAATTGTATAAAAAATGTATTATACGAGGCAGTTTTGGAAATTACCATTCCTATTGCTAAAATACGCTCAAAGAAATATTGTGTTTGTTTAATTAAAATATAATTTTTTTCTAAATAAAATAATTTTTAAGGCAGAATCAAGAACTTCAAATGATGCCGAATTGTCTGTTGCTTTAATTGTTTTGGAAGAATTGTTCAAATTTGATATTATTAAAGAAGCTTCTATTGAATTATATTGTAAGGGAAGGAAGGTGTGTTTAAAAATGTAAAAATAATTTGGTACTCTTTGGATATACCGTCCTCTACCTAGTTTGTGTCTCAATTATTTTTTCCCTCTTCATGCGAATCATTTGTTATCCTTGGGCAATATAGGTGAAAATGCAGTCGTAAAAATGTTATATTGCTTGACCAAATATTTATAAACAAAAATGAATAAAAAGAGAATAACTGATACTGAAACTAGGAGGGGCAGTATATCTAAAAAGTACCAACAATTTTAAGGGTATTTTTAAAAATCAGAATTTTGAACCTGAATAATTTCGGAAAATTAAAATTATAAAGCAGAATGATCCTAAAAAATCAACCAGATAATTTCAGAAAATCAGAATTTTAAATTTTCAGAAATTTTTAAACCCAGCACTTTCACTTAGCAAAGAAATGAGATTTTTACTTGAAGATGGAACTGATAATACATTTTTATCAAAAATGAATAAATTAGAAAAATTATATTCAAAATCCTCAATAAATTGTAACGATACCTCAATTATTCTTTCAAACGAAAAATGTGTTAAAAATTATTCCCAAAATTCACAAGTAGAAGAAATAATTAAATTTTAGAACAAAAATAATTTTAAAATTGTCTTTGAATTCAATAAATTAAAAATTTTAGCTTCCTAAATTGTCTCTAAAGTTTTATTATTTTTCCTGTATTTCTTCATATTTTCCAAATTTGTTATTTTTTTGAATATTATAATATTGTTAACATTTAAAAGTTAAATAAAGAATTGTCTTCTAAAGCAGAATTTGTTTTCTATTCTAAATTTGGGATTTTCAAGTTTTTAAAAATTGTTTAGGTTTCTATCTGTAGGTTATTGAAGTCGTGCTGAATCCTGATCTTATATTCCTCCCTCAGTTTGGATTGTCAGTTGAAGTCCAGTCATTGTTTTCGAATTAACCTTTATCCCTCAATTTTTGGCTTAATTTCTTTTAAATGTTTTTTGTTGAATCCCATTATTAAATTAAGAAAGTATCGTCAATCAAGGTCCAGACATTTTTTTTCTTGAGCTAACTTTACTCCAGAATTTTTGCCAAATTATTTTTTAGTTTGAAAAAATCGAATACTTTTTCATGCTAAAAAATATGGGAGCAAACCGTGGGTTTTGCGGGCTATTTTGTCAAGACTACAATTATGTATAGGTTACGATTTTCTAGTAGATTATTCCGCTTAATAAATTGGAGAACAATAATTTATGGTTAATCATCCAAACTCCCCCAAAATCGAATAAAAAATTCAATTAAAATATTTTTTATTCCTACATATTTGTACAAAAAAATAAGAAAATATTTTTTCATATAACCCTATAAATTATTCTATTCCCTTCTGATTTTGAAGTACTTCATTTACGTGTACCTTTGACATTGGTCCTTGTTGCAGTTTGATTCTAAAAAAATAATAGGGGAAATTATTGTTTTCTAGACTTGAAGGTTATCTATTTTTCAATGATTCTAAGTTTCTTTTCACCCTTCCCCTCTTTTATTTTTCAAATCCTCATTTTCCAAGTTTAAAAAGGGATCACTTACTCCAATCATTAAATTAAGCTTAGACTACCTGTTTTGCCAAAGCCAAATTAAATCCAACAGTTCTAGACATTTCTTCAAAAACCCAATTAGGAAATTCAAACTGCTTTAAAACATCTCTAGCTGAACCAGATTTTTGTTCGATTCCTTTGGCAATTCCGCGAGCCTGAAATTATTGAAAAATGAGTAAAAATAATTTTTGAGCAAAATTTAAAATATTGTCAATCGATGTGGAACCCACCAACGTCTTTGTGGGGGAAACAGAGAATTTTCCTACTACACCACAACCCAACTTTACGTTAAATATAAAACACCTTTAATGCAAAACAAAGAAGTATTAATGTAGCAACAACCGTAGCAAATAAAGTAATAACACAAAACCATGTAGTTATAATAAATAGAGCAGATAATAATGGAAATTGTAAGCAAGAAGACATTTTAAATTTTTTTATAAAAAATTTAATTGAAAGCCTAAAAATAGGGGGAAAAGGTAAAAAAAGTTTAAAGGCATGATAATAAAAAGTGAAGAAAATGTGGAAAATTTAATAATGAAAAACAGGTAAACATGCTTTTATATTAAGAAAAGTATGAAAAAAAGTTGAAGACAATCCTTTTTTATGTTCAGACCGGAAAAACTCTAAGACTTACTAAGACAAAGGAAAAAGATAAATTTGAGAGTTTATAACCAAAAATTAAAAGTTTAGGGTTAAATCTAGTGTTCAACTGAGGTTTTAAGCGAGTTTTTATTTGAGGAGGTAAGTATTATATACGTTGTTTATGCTGTGGAAAAATTGTTTGGATGGGAGATTGAATTGAACCATCACGGAAAGAACCCAGACCGAAGCACAACCGACTGTGCCACCATCCAACCAGATGAAAGGTTATTTATTTTCATTCATGGTCTTTCTGCAAGTGCGGACACAGCAATAAGCTTTGAATTTTTTGAATTCTTTTGAATAATTTCAAAATCTTTTAATACATTTTCTAGTTTAATTTAATATTTTTTTTTGTAAAATTTTTAACATCACTGTGACATTTAATGAATCCTACTGGAAAAATTCCCCTTATCGAGGGCCTTCGACTGATATTAAAATTACTTGGATCATATCAAGTCTAAAAAGATAGTTGAGCAAATCTTATTGGCTGCACTTAACCTTAACTTTATTGAATAATTAATTATAAGTGGCATTTAAATATCTTTCTAAAAAATATTTTTTTTATTAAAAAAATATTACATCTGGCAATTATTTAAGAAAAAAGTTTTTTAGAAAATGTAAACAATAATTATGTAGAAAGTATAAACATACTTTTATAAGCTTAAATAAATGAATTCTTTAAGCATTTTTTGAATTAATTTCTTGAATTTTTAAAACATCTGTTAATTATAAAAAGTTAATTTTTGAAAGTTCCTTTCATTTCAATTAGAAAATTATTTTTGTTTAATTTCATTAAAACATTTTTAAAAATATTTCAATAGTAAGCAGCTGGGTTATAGCTATTATTTCCTTTAGCTAGTGCAAAAGGTTAATCGGCGGCTGGGAGCGAACCAGCATCTTCAGTAGACCGGAGTGATGTGTTAGCCATTACACTACGCCGCCTACTGCACAGCCTTAGGAATTACCGTATTTACTCGATTAATTCCCCACCTTCGAATAATTCCCCACCCCCTATTAATTGTCACCATGTCACGCATGGGTTGAAAAAATAATTCCTCGGGAGAATTAATCGAGTAAATACGGTAAATAAAGTCCGTTAAGAAATTATAACACCCCCTATATTTTTGTTGTTACTTATACTTCCTGCGCCCACATGATTCGAAATTTTTATTTTTGTAGAATTTTTCAAACATTTCTAGTATGAGAACCCAAAGGGGTGTTATAATTTCTTAACGGGCTTTAGCTAATGCTTTACACAATTTAAATTATATGTAGTACTTCTCGGCGACTGTTGTTTTACGTTGTTTTAATATAATAAGCTTTGTAAAAACATCGAACTGTTCGATAAACAAGTTTTGATGAGAAAAACATTACGTGTTGTGATTGTAAACAAAACTTTAAACAGCAAAACTTGTTTTATACTTATAAACATATAGAGAAACAAATGTTTTTCTGAAAAGATTAAACATGTTTTGAACACAAACATGTTTATTAAACAATAAATTGTTTTACAAACAAAACACGAATAAATAAATAATAATTACAAAAACATTCTCTTCTTTATTTAAGAGGAAAAATGTTAATAGGAGAAATATATTCAACAATAATTTATTGTTTTGCTACATTTGGATTGTTTTCTAATTTGTTTTTAATTTGGCTAATTTTACGTTATACAATGAAAGAAATGCAAGTTTATAGCAAAATACTTTTACAAACTTGTTTTGTTGATATTGTTGGGATTTGTATGTTTGTTGTTTCTCAACCGGTAAATATTTGAAGTATACGGAGACTGTAGGAAAAATATGTATGGCTGTACTTTAGCCGGTGGCCCACTCAGAAACGGGTCAAATTATATACCATTCGATTCGTCTCAGCGAGCTGAGTCGAATGGTACCACTCTTTTTTTGCGGAAATTCCTGCGAGCCGAGATATAGGTCCTTAAAAACCGAAAAACCATATGGGGGCCAAGCACATTTTTGGGGTGAAAAATTCGAATATGCAAATAATAGCTCATTTGAAAGAGCTCGTCGAGCTGAGTCGAAGACACCAAAATCAACAAAATCTGTCTTGATTTGACAAAGTTATGAGCATTTGTTTTAGCTCCTTACCTTTGGTCTACGTGCAGGTTTTTCTTGCTGAGGAGGAAGCCAGACATGCCGACCGCAGCTAAAATAGGCATAAGTTTATGTTACGAGCCCAGACCCAGCGCCCGTAGACTCTCCGCGAGGCGCGTGCCGCAAAACCCCGCGCGAAGCGCGGGGTTTTGCACAAGCGCCTCGCCGTCGCCCCATAGGTTTATGTTGCTTGTATTTTGTGTTGTAACTTTGTCTAAATTTATTCAATCACTGTGATATTGGTGTCATTCGACTCAGCTCGTCGAGCTCTTTCGAAAGAGCTATTATATGAGTAAAAAATTTTTAATTCCAAAAATTGTCCATTTTGACCTTCGAATTTTAGGGGTCTATATCTCGGTCCATTCAAGTCGGATTTTGTTGATTTTGGTGTCATTCGACTCAGCTCGAGCTCGCCGAGACGAATCGAATGGTATACATATCGAGGGGTTTCTGAGTGGGCCACCGGCTAAAGTTTATCCAAAAATATTTGACAAAACATCTCAGGACCGTATTATTAAAAAGACAAGTGACAGAGGGTGAAAAGGCGAGTCTAATCCGGTAATTTGACAATAGTCAGGTAACTCCAAGCTAATGTAAAACGGCACTAGGTGAAAAGTGCTGCATTCGCTTAATCAAATAAACAATTTGCATTTTCACATGCAAATATAAAGTTGACCTTTTTCTAAATATAAAGGTCTCCCGACGTTATCATCCAATTCTCGTTCCTTATCTTATTTTTGTTATTCACTTTCTGTTTATATTTTGACCCTTAAATTGTCTCTATAAATACCCCAGCCTTTTCCTCATTATTAGAAGTTTTGGCCTAGCCAATTCTTTCCCTTATTATTGTATCCCATATTTATATGGAGAATAAATGAATAAATAGAATAAATATTTAAATAATGTTATTCAGTCTAATAGAAGTCCCCAGAATAGTAGAACCCGAGTTTAAGCTATATAATCCTCAAATATAGCAAAAAGATATTTTGAATAGTTTCATTTAACTCCTTAAAATTTGTAAATTTATGCCTGGTTAATATTCAAATTTTAAGCCTCTAAACAATTTTCTATTTAACTTTTCTTTAAAAAGGTTTATATTTCTGATAATGGCACGGGTACAGCTTGGAGTTATGGACCTGTACATTACTTACCAAATCCTTGGCAATTTGTTCTCCTTCGTATTAATTATTTTATGGCAAGAGTTACTTCCATGAATGTCTGTACATTATTTATTTATCGCTACTTTGTTGTTGTACGGTAACGTTCTTATCAAGGCCGGCCTTTAAAATATAACTTTTTTATATAGCAGTGTTAATGTTAAATTTAAACACCAATTATTGTTAATTGTTGGAATGACAATTCCAATATTAATTTTAAATATTTGTTCTTGTTTATCAAATTATCCAACACCAGAAAATGAATATTTAACTAATTATGAGTTGGCACAAACATTGGGATTGGATAATTATACAATTAAAAATTATGTGGTTGGACTAAGGACCGGAGTAAGTTAACTGATTAGTCGAGAAAACGTTGAAGAATAATGTCGCCGGAACCGAAAATTTGATCTGTGGTGGTCCACCCCGTTCCCTGGGAAGTTCCTTTTCCGTGGGCCTGAATTACCATTTAAAAATTAATATCTACAGACCAGCAATCTATCAATTTTTACTTCAAATTATGCTTCAGCATTAACAATAATTAATTATACAGGGTGTTTCAACTAAGAAATACTATTTGAAAATTCAATAATTTTTTACTAAGTCGACAGATTTTAACAAAATTTTGTATTTTTTATCTATATTTTATGGCATTTTTTTTGACATAAAAATTATGTCAAAATTCGAACCCTAACCCGAGATAATTTCGTACTCTACCGTTCTGTTTTTCCCTTTTACCGCACATGCATTCTTACTTCCCTTAATTTGTTTTAAGGGGAGACAGACACTAGAGTAAACAATAGGCGATAGACACTACATTTTCAATACAGTAATCCACTCTTCGCCATACACAAGAAAATAAATGGAGTAAGATAGCACACAATGAAAAGAGGGAAAAAAGAGAACGGTAGAGTACGAAATTGAAATACAGGGTTAGGGTTCGAATTTAGACTAAATTTTTATGTCTAAAAAAATGCTAAAAAATATAGATATAAAATACCAAATTTCATAAAAATCTGTCCATGCAGTAAAAAGTTATAGATTTTTAAAATAGTATTTCTTAGTTGAAACACCCTGTATAATAATTATTTTTTGTGGTATAAGTATTCAAATACATGTTTATCGTCATTGTAAAGGTGTACAAATGACTCAATTACGTAATATGAATAAACAAATGAGTATTGTTTTGGGGGCACAGGTCGTTAAACAATTCTGAAGAATTATATAAGGAAAAATTTTTATTCTTATACTCTTTAAAGTTTCCTCAAAAAAATTTCGCTTTTGAAAAAAGTTTCGGCCATATCAAGTTTATGCGTCCAGTCAAAAAACAATTGATTTTTCTTAGTATTGCAAAGTTGGGGTCAGGGATGAGCGCAAGAGATAATCTCAAAAAACGCAAAACGCAACGCAAGGCCAAAATTTAACGCAAATAACGCAAAACGCAAGAGCGCAAAAATAGGGGAAAAAATTTTTTAATCGAGTATTAGTCATTTTTCAGTTAAAAATTGAA